GAGCTGAAACCATGAAGCCCGCCTCATTAACACTGCTATCAAAACTGGGTGGGCCACTGTATTCATGGCATCCAGTGTGGTCTGTAGCACTGTTCTTGCTACCAGCTAGCTCTCATGGATGATGGCTTTAAACTGTTCTCATTGTGCTTCTTGCAAGTGGTCAATAAACATGCTGAGTTTCCCATAATTCATGTGATCAGACTTTGCCTTTAAGGCTTGGTAGTTTGAAATCCTGAATTGCAGAGATGCTGAGGAGTAGGTCTTCCTTCCAAATAAGTCTAGCCTTTTCCAGTCTCTATCGTACAGGGTTTATTTAGCATGTTGTTGCTTTCCTAGCGAATTATCGGCATCTACAACAATAGAGTTAGGCTGAGGAGATTATATATATAAAATAAAAAAAAGTCTGCCTCTTTGGGGGGAACGCAATACTTCTTGTCTGCCCTTTTACATGTCAGCACAATAGAGGCTAGTGTCTGCCAGATAATCTAGGCAGGATCTAAAAGCACCTCGTTGACTGGGAAGGCAATCCTTGAAGAGAAGAAGGTCTGAAATATGTTCAGCAATTTGTGGTGGGTGCCGTTCACCTCTTCAAAAAAAACTTGATATCACTGGACGGTCATGGCAGAGAGGGCATCACAGCCTCAGCTGGTGAGGAGGAGCTATTTGTTGGTGGTGTAGTCTCCTCTTGTAGTCTGGCCTCCTGCTTCTCAAAAGTTTCCTCCTGTAGTTCTGGAATTCTAGATACAGAGGTTGTAGGAGACTATCTAGTAGATTCTCTGTAGGAGATGCTAGATGCCTGAGAAGTATGGTGCCTGTAGGCTGCCCATGGGTCCCAGTATGGCCACTAGGATGGAGGAAAAGGCATGGGTAGCGGCACCCAGAGGTGCCCATACCAGGAGGGTTGGGGATCGGAGTGTGCGTGGGAGGGTCCTGATTGTTGTAATGAGGGGGTATGGTGTGAGGCCAGAGTGTTGTTTTGGTCACTGTCCAACTCCTCACTGGAATAGGGTGGGACTGACAGGAAAGCTGGAGGCGAATGCCCCCAGAGCCACTGGTCATTCTGGGGAGCGGGACATGCTCAGTACCAGAGTCCCGGTACTGAGTAACAGGAACTCTGGCATCTCCACGATCACGATGTCCCTAGAAAAGTGAAATTCCTGTAGTACTGTCGTTGCAACCTACTGTCAGATGTTGCCTGCGCTGACTTGTCGGTACCGACGATCTTTTATGAGAGGCACAGTTCGATCAAGACTGCTTCGAGGTGGTCAGTGCCAAGGATTTCTTCATTAGTACCGATTTCGCAGAGGCAGCAGGGTCTCCGCTGTTATCTTTGGCAGATGGTGCTACCACTTCAGAGCCTGTGCCCTTCAGGTCTTAAGGCATTATGGCAGAACTTGTACCCAAAGGTCCTGTGTCTTCTGGGTACCGTGTTTTGGAGCCACTGGTGCCAAGGTGACCGATGGCATTGGGGATCTCCTCTGGCTGGTCAGGAGCTCAGCTTGAGGGCTTGCAGCCCTCTTTTTTGGAAGCTCTGAAAGGGGAGTCAGACAATTTTCTCTGTGGTTCTCCCTCCCTAGAATTTGAAGGCTCTGGGAATGATCTTCACCGTGGAGGGATTTGGCACAGGGGTCGGGTGTGAATTTAAGAGCAACCTCCATGAGGAGGCATTTCAACTTTAACTCCCAGTTCTTTCAGGACCTAGCCTTCAATTTCTGGCAGAAGGTGCACTTCTGCAGAATGTGAGCCTTTCCAAGGCACCGGACACAGCAGTGTCTGTCCGTAACCAGTACTGCCTCTCTACAGAAGAGGCACTGTTTAAACTTGGTGGAGCTGGGCACTCCCCTTCAGGGGGCAATGCCCAAACTGAGGGTGGGGGGTTGGGGGGGGGACAAGGAGAAAGAAAAAAAATTTTTTGTTGGGTTTTGGAAAAGTAAAAATGGAAGTCCTAGATATGCTACAAAAACTCTATAAGAAGCAACAGAATTAAAATCTATCAACTATAATGAAACATGAGGTAAGTAAATCAGATTGCTACTCACTATCTCAGGCAAGAAGCGTCTGAGAAGGAACTGAGGGCGGTTTGCCCACACAGAGCTAGATAGGCTCAAGGAAGAGAAAGTGGAAGGGAGAGCAGGTACGTGGGCCAAACGGACACTGCTACCTAAAATCTCCAATCAGAGGTGCAGACACTCTTACAGTGGAGCACCCACAGGGACACTACTCGAAGAAGAAAATACTTCTTACCTACCTGACATAAGTGTTGAGGGTTAACGTTTGTAATGCTGCTTAGATATTTGGATGAAATGCAATGCAACAAAAACAAAAAGAATTCTCAGGCCCATAATCCAAAACAATTTAGCACCAGCCAATCCTGAAACCTTTGTAGCTATTGATATATCTCTACAAGTATCTTAAACGGTGTTTACACCTATGCAGATAGAACAGTCTGGAACGGCTATTATTAAGGGCTCTTACTAGAAGAGAAATTTAGGCTGAATTTCAGGAACGCTAAAATACTGAGATATTAGGATGTGGTTTTTGTGAGGAAGTGGTATTAATCCCTTTTGCCTGTGACATTTAAAATTGGACTTGTCCAAGTACTAGAAAGTCATACAAGATCTAAGGAGACCAGTAAGAGCAGTTAATAGTTTTTTTCCATTTCTAAATTCTCACTCATCCTAGGCATGCAATTTCAATACAGCTTGACAGGCCCTCCACTGACTCTCTTTCTGAGGAAGGTGCTTTGCTCAGTTGTGTTTTGTATTAAAGGAAAAACAGATGAATTATCCTATTTTTGAAAGCACCACCATCACCACCACAGCACCTGGTGAAGCACTGGAGAATGAAGCAAAATTTTTAGAAGTCCTTGTGAAAGCCTGAAATATTAAAACTTAAATAAGGCACAAAATCTATTTAGTAGTAGAACCACCATGCATTACCTGGAATTGTGTGCAAAGCTTTCCTACACGCAAATGTTAATTGTCAAGGTTATACAGAATGTGAACACATACATGCCCACAGGGAACAACAGGTAACACACACAGTATGTGTTTTAGAAAGTTTACTCTTGCTGGTAGAAAAATTAGTTGAAGCAGGCCGAAGCTCACAAAATGAAGAATGAGACAAGATGTTGAGTGCTCTCATCCTGTTAAAGAAAAATCAGGAAACAACACTGTTCCAATGCCTATATTTTCATTAATCCAAAAGTATTTAAGTAAAGTATTCTAATGCCTGGTTTGAAACCAAGTTCTTTTCTCAAATCCAAATGGGAGTTTAGCACTCAGGGCTCATTTGGAAAGGTAACGTGTGTATTTATCATATCATTTTATGTCTACAAAATCTGGAATTGAAATGTCACCTCAGTTAGCTCAGCATTTTACTAAATCCAACATATTTATGTAAAGAAATAAAAAAATACACCCCTTCCTTGAAGTTTCTAGTGCTCTACGGATACCGACAATTACAACAGTGAGTTTATATATTAATTACATGTTTCATCATCATCTGCAAAATCCTCAAACACACTTTAAGTAATAGGAAAAGAAACATGAAAGGCTGGGGCAAGCCAAGAAATATTTAAATATGCTAATACCAGGTTGCTAAACATCTGAGGTCTGAATTCTCTTGAAGGAAAATGGTTTAATCTGTTTAATTGCCTTGTAGAATGTTGTTGGCTACCCATAAGAAAAGCCAAATTTTATGTACACAGGTTTACAACATAATCTACACCAGAAAAGACCTCTGTCTAATGGGTCATCTAGATTACCCCATGCAACGTGACAGGATAATTTTACTATTCTTAAACCAAACCTTAGGAAGATCAGTCAATTCTAATCTTCATGAGCTTCAGTCAAAGTGGTTCAACAGAGTCCCATTCAGTTTTTTCTATTTCCTAACTATTCTAGGAGGGTGGTGAACCACTGGAATGCATTACCTAGGGAGGTGGTGGAGTCTCCTTCCTTAGAAGTTTTTATGGTCAGGCTTGACAAAGCCCTGGCTGGGATGATTTAGTTGGGGTTGGACTAGATGACCTCCTGAGGTCTCTTCCAATCCTAACCTTCTATGATTCTACGATTTAGTTAAACATTTTGTTAATATTCACCCAAAATTCTCTGCTGCACTCTTAAGCCTTTGTGGTTTGTATTCCTCGCCTAATCTGCATCTTTGTTTTATGTGGTTACAGGCCACCCTGTCTAGTTTCAGCCTTCTCACTCTAAAAAAGCTTTTCTCAGGGATCTTAGTTTCAAATAATTTTATTGCTCTTTTCTGCACTATTTCAAATTAGTCTATTTTTAAATTTTGTGCTCAAAACCAAATGCGTCTCATATTGGGATGTTTGGCACCAAGAAAGTGGTTGACAACTAGTTGGAAGAGTCCTCCCAGCTGTGGATGAAGTAGTTTTGCAATATCTGGATGCACTGAACATGAAAGTATTACAGTACTGATTCATACAATTTGTCATACTAAATTATTTTACCAATAGCTCCCTTTCATCCTAAAGTACTTTATAAAACCCCCAAACCATTCAGTATGATCTGCATCCCTCTAGTTCAGCGGTTCTCAAACTGAGTCATGACCTCATTTTAATGGGGCCACAAGGGCTGGCGTTAGACTTGCTGGGGCCTGGGGCCGAAGCAGAAGCCTGAGCCCCACTGCCCAGGGCCAGGGGCTTCAGCCTCACTGGGGATGAAGCTCTTGGGTTTCCCCTTTGGCCCCTGCCCAGGGCTGCATGGCTCAGATGGGCTCAGGCTTTGGTCCCCTCTCCTGGGGTTGTCAGAAGGGGGTCGCGGTACAATGAAGTATGAGAACCCCTGCTCTAGTTTGCACCTGTGTTTGATCCTTCCCTCTCATATAGAGCTTACATTTGTCCTTGCTGAATTCATTTTAAAGATTTCAGAGTTTCCCTATTTTAGCAAGGATAGTCTAAACTATGGAGAATGTCACTGATGGGAGATTGGCTATATGGCAATTAGAAGCATGATCCAATTTAGAGTTCTTACCTCCCCATGTACCTCCTACTTGTGGCCCAGTGGATATAGGATGTACAGATGGATGAAAGGTTGGCTGCAAATCAAGTAGATCATTTGGCAGCTTTGATGTGCTACAGAGACAAAGGAGGACAACTGTTTGAACTGTATCAAATAGTTTTCAATACAAGACAGCATTTTCAACTATTATGAACAGATTCACTAAACATTAAGGGGACATAACTATAGCAGTTTGTTTTTAGTTTGATGGGGAATACCTTTGGATTGTAAACATAGCGAGCTCAATTCTCTGCCATGCTAAAGCCCCTCTGTGCCAGTCCATCACCAGAGAGCAATCATAAGCTTGGTGGGTATAATCTACCGATTTCTCACACTCTCTTCAGACCCTGATGTCCAAGTGTGGCCAAAGCATGCCTGCACTTCAATCATGCCCAGCTCACAAAGTGACCTCACAGGGGCTACTGGTAGCAAGTGGCATCTCTAAACTGTGCCAGGAAATCAAACTGACACAGAACTTGTCCCAGACTGGAACTACAAATGGCTCCTCTGTGATCACTCCTCAGCTAAACCATCATTTATTGAGTACAGCAGAGAATTTGGCTCAATGACTATAATGCTGATAAACTTTTATAAAGCTTTTGAAGTTTTTTTAAACACTGGCCACAGCTGTTCTGTCCTCGGTGATGCTGATGCATAAAAAAAGGTAAATTTATTTACCTCTCCATTGGAAACAAATCCAAAACCCAAGAGGTGTCAAGCCCCAAAACTCATTGAAGAGAAGAGGAAAAATTTCCACGATTAACACATGGAAATGGGGGAGAAGGGCACACAAGTCATTACAACAGTTGTATTTAAGATGTCAACTATCTTTCAAACAATGGAGAGGAAAAAACAGGTTAATGAGTCCTCTTAAGTTCATAAGATTTTACAGTTATAACAAATTTCTTCAAAACTCTGGAGTAGTGCGTCCATCCAGGTCCTAATCGTATTTTTACATATAGTACATTAAGAGTTAAAGTCTCCTTTAATCACCAGCAAGATAGGAGACAGAATAATAAATACTTTAAACCCAGTGCACAAAATCACTTACATCCACATTATGTTGGCAATACCGTCGAAGTGAAAAGGTTAATCTAACTTTTGTACTGGTGCCTATCACTGTAGTATCTGATGACTTCTCAGAGTAAGTAGATTAGGACAGCAGTGGTCCCTAAATGAAATTCAGGGAAGCTTCTGCTCTAATCCAATCTCTGCACACAGAATTCAACTTCGGATAAGTTTTTGAAGTGTGAGAGAGAAGAGGAATTCTAGTCTTACTTTTCTCCCATTGTCTATAGATAGAAACAAATAGAGACAATGCGTAACATCTCAAACCATTGAAATAAATTCCCTTCTATGCTCTTTTGCTTGGATTTCAGTTAAAGTAATATGTATTAAGTATGTGATGAGTCAGAAGAAGAGATTCTTTACCTGCACCCTAATTTGCGTTTTGAGATGCTTTGTCCCTATGGGTGTTCCATCGTAGGACCTGTGCACGTCAGTGTGCTCTTAACGGGAGACTGTAAAGCAGCGCCCATAGGCCTGTGCAGAGCAGTTTCTCATGCTCCCACATGAAGTCAAACAGGGAAGTGCGGACCCGCCACCACTCAGTTCTTTCTCAAGCCTAAAGTCAGAGACTTTGCAGCAGAGGGGAAGGAGGGCAAGAGGTGGAGTCCATAGGGACAAAACAGCTCAAAGAACTCAAGTCACTGTACAGTAAGTAACCTCTCCCTTGAGTTTGTCTCTCTATGGACGCTTCACTGTAGGACACTCCCCAATAATAACTTAACATGCAGGTGGGTGCTAAGGAGGCAGGCGCAAGACAGTTCAGAGGACTGCATCATCAACTGTTGTTTCAGTTCTAGAAGCAGGTACGACAGCGTAATGCTTGGCAAACATATGGATGGAGGACCAAGTTGCAGACCTGCACATATCTGCTACAGAAAGTTTTTCAAAGGGGCTATAGACATGGACTAAGTGCTATTGAAGCATTCTGTCACTCAGAGTTGTATTCCAGCAGTCTCATAGCATGTTAAGATGCAACTTGAGACGCACTTTATGCAGGTGGAAGGCAAGATGTTCTCCTGACATCTAGTTAGTGTATATAGGCTAGTTTCCTCCCTGGAGGCAGGAGGCATTGGATAGAATACTGGTAGGTGGGTTTCCTGATTAATATGGTATTCCAATGAGACCTTAGGGAGAAAACCAGGATGGAGATGTAGGGTAACTATCTCTGCAGAAGTCAGTGAATAGTGGTTCTGTCATGAGAGCACCAGGTTCTCCCATTCACCTAGTCTAAGTGATGATTATAAGGAATGAAGTCTGAGAAAGAGGGGGAGGAGAGAGCAGGTAGCCATCGGTTTGAAGGAGGGTTTCCACAGGACATCAAGAACCAAATTTAGATGCCATGGGTGGGGGGCCGGGTTCCAAACAGGAGGAAATAAGTGGTGAGAGCCTTTAAGAAATCTGGTCATGGGAGGAACTGAGTGGAAGGCTGTGACAGCGGCCAAATGTACTCTGACTGAGTTAACTGATAGACCTTGTCTCTTGAAATCCAACAGGTAGTCTAGGATCTTGGGGAGTGGAGTGTCTGATGGTTGACAGGAGTGAAGAGAGCACCAGGAATGGAAGTGTTTCCAACTCTGAAGGTAAGTTTTGCGAGTAGTAGGTTTCCTGCTCGATAGAACAGGTTTACTCCATGCCTGAGAAACATCTACAACCCATGCTCACAGATTCAGGGACAACGGGTTGTGGGGGAATCAAGGGCCTTAAGTTCTATGACAGGAGATCCCTCCTGATGGGAAGGTGGAGAGACATTGAGGAGAAGTGAAGGAGGTTTGAGTACCACACTTGTCTTAGCCAGGACTGTACTATGAGGCTAACCCTCACTCCTTCCTGTTGCAGTTTGAGCAAGATCTTGAGAATTAGATGTAGAGGCAGGTAAACATCCTGCAGGGTATGAGGCCACGGTCTTATCAGGACATAACCCAGCAGTATCCTCCTTTGGAGCAAAAAAGGTAACATTTTGTGTTGATTGGGGTAGCACAGAGGCCTTCTTCTAGGAGACCCCAGGTTTGGCAGATGCTGTAGAAGACAGTTGCTGAGTTCCCTTTTGTGGTCCTGATGGAAGTTTCTGTTCAGGGAGTCTGCAATCGTATTCTGGTGACCTGCTAGATAGACTGCAAGTGTTTTCCATAAAGTACATGTAGGCAATAGTATAACCCCACTGACTGGTAGGGCCATCTTTCCTTGGGGAAAGGGGAGTGATATTTAAATCCTGACCTCTTCTAACAGGATCTGGAGGGATTCCACCTTGTGTTTCATTAGGTCCTGGAAGGCCCTAAAGTCATCAGCATAAAAGAGCAGTGGTGCTATTGGGTCTCTCAGTACCAAGGGAGCAGACTGTGCCGGAGGATGGTCTGTCAGACAGTGACGTGGTACTGGCAGGTGTTGAGTTTTCCTTTTGGCTGGTACCCTTTAAAATGGCTCGCAAGGGTGTCCCCAGGAGTTCCAGTAGGCCCAATGAGTAGGAAAATGACCCCAAGTGTATTTACAACTGCTAGGTCCAGGATGACTAGTGAGCTCTGAAAAGTCCTCTTCAGTACAAGAGCTTAGAGGAATATGCTGGTTCAGCATCACACACTCGTACCGATACTTCAGTCCAGAGGAGGATATTGTTTCTGACTCTGAAGAGAGGGCTTCTAGCATTGGTGTTAGTACCAAGGGTAGGGGTCCTGGTCCTGGTCCGATGAAGAGGAGTTCAGGTTGCAGATGTCGGAGCAGTATTGGGGAGGGAGGGTCTTGTGGAGCTCCTTAAGAGAGGAGACTCCAGTTCCTCCGATATAATACCATCTCCTGGGGAGAGAAATCTAGAATGCTGGAGGACTATGGTAGCCTAATGCAGCTGGTACTGGGGCCTGGAACAGGGATCAGTACCAGTCAGGAGATGGCCTCTCTGGTACCATACACAGTGACACCAGTCTGGGTGCTCTATATGGCTGTGAGATGAGGATGACATCACGGCTCATGTAGAAATGCTGTGTGCTTCTTGGTGCTTAAATACATCAGGAGGTATTGAGGTAGGTACTTTGCACTGCCTGGTAGACATCTGATCCTAGCTACTTAGGCAGTACTGATGCCTCGGTATCAATTTCAGCAAGGTCTCTCGGGAATCAAATTTATGGGGCAACCGACCCCTTTTCTTAGATTGCCTGACAAAAAAGAGAAAGAAGCCTCTCTTCCAAGACTGCATCTGTGGAACGGTTGTTGGGGCTTCCACAGTCACCAGAGTGGCCTGACATGTTGAAGCTGATGTATGGGGGAGAAGGGGAAGCAGACCCCACCCCACACTGGAGCTCGGGAGCACTACAACAGGAGGAGCTTCAACCTAGCACATCTATCCTTTCAAGACCTGCCTTTGAATGCCATGCAGACCTTGCACTTTGCCAGCACATGGGTGTCTCCAAGACACCAGAGAAGCTGGAATGCCTATTGCTATGGGGAAAAGACCTGAGACAGCTCTGACAAGGCTTGAACCCTGATGTCTTCAGCATAACCCTGAATGTCAGAGTACTAAAGCAAGGGTTCAGCAAAATAAATGGGGCAGGAACCCCCTTTTTAAAGCACAACTGTGCTGAAATACCAGAGAACAACAAATGAACTAAATAACTAAAAAAAGAAAGAAGGGAATAATAAGAAATGCACAGTAAGTGAAAAGTAGGAAGCTGTAAAAACAGCAGACACTGAATGTTCTGTTTCAAGCCGCAAGCAGGTGAGAAGGAACTGAATGGTGGCAGGTCTGCACCTCTCTCTACGCCTTTGTATGGGAGTACGAGCGTGCAGGCCTGCAGACACTGCTTTGCAATTTCTGGTCAAGAGCGCACAGGCACATAAGTGTCCTATGGTGGAGCATCCACAGAAGAGACATATACTCAAAGAAGAATACAGCATTACTAGACGCTGTCCATCTGGGTCTGAAAGCATTACAACCTGTATTACAGCGAGTATATAACGATAAAAGTATACTTAAGTGATATAAATGCCCAAATAAATACAACTCTTAGTTTTCGGATAAGACGCTTGTCTTTTGCATTAATCTAACTTCCTATGAACTGGCTCATTTTATAGTTACTGCCCAACATTAATGGGATACCGTAAGTTAGATCAGTATGTTCCCTTCAGCGCACACTGAAATGCAGCATTAGTGGGTCTTGTAGATCAGCAGGAATAGAACTATGTTGCTTACTAAGGGTATGTCTTCACTACCCGTCGGATCGGCAGGCAGCAATCGATCCAGTGAGGACTGATTTATCGCATCTAGTCTAGACACGATAAATCAACCCCCGAGCGCTCTCCCGTCGACTCCTATACTCCAGCGCTGCGAGAGGTGCAGGCAGAGTCGACAGGGGAGCAGCAGCAGTCGACTCACCGCGGTAGAGACTCCACAGTAAGTTGATTTAAGTACATTGACTTCAGCTATGTTATTCACATAGCTGAAGCTGCATAACTCACATCGATCCCACCCTAGCGTAGACCAGGGCTAAGAGACCCAAAATCTAAAGTGCCCAAAGATATGCACCATTCCCCATCTGAAGGCAGACGTGCCTTTGGCCATAACTGAAGATATTATTTAGAAAGTTCTTTTGGATCCCTTGTCAGCCTATCAGTACACTGGCACTGGCTCTACTGGGATCTACTCTACTACCGGCTCTTAACCAGAAAAAACGGAAATGAGAGAACATTAAGAAAAAAAGGAAAGTAAAATCTGACTCAGAAGACTACTGCTCAAGGTATGTTCTTGAAATACTTCATCTCAGCAACAAGAGAGAGAGTTAGCAAAACTGTATTTTGTAACATATATTTTGAAAACCAAAGCAGGCTAGAACGGATTAAAACACTTACTGAACTTTTCATCTGCAAACGATGTCTATCTGTAATGTAATTTTCTGGCTGTTAAAGTAGCTTTGCCAAAGCTTGGGTTTCAGACAATCATTGGTGAGATTAACAAATGTTTTGGATATCCAACAAATAAAATTACATCTGATCATTTTAAATGCTTTGTCCTTTATCAAGGAAGCAACTCAAATGCCATATACTCTTCTGTTTTTACCCTCATGACTTCCGGTTACTAACAACTGCTCATTTCTGTAATTCTGAATGTGTTATTTGATTCAGATAATTGATAAATGGTTGGTGTCCTATAAATAATTTCCTAGATTTGTTGCCCAGTGGGAAATAAAGCCTACCAGAGTGCGAACAGTTTTTGAAGAACAGCGAAGAGATAAGGGAGGAAATGTGCACGTTCCCCTGTAAATTCCAGAGCAATGGTTAAACATTCTTTGGGTTCAAATCCTGACCAAGTCCCTGCATAATATGGTACTATTTTGTATGACTAAGGGCATGTACACACTACAAACTTAAGCTGCCCTATGTTAAGTCAACTTACAGCCTCCGTAGTAATTACTGCCGTGGTTCATGATCACAATACCCTCCTTCTGTTGGTTGTGCATATCCTCACCAGGAGTGCTTCCACAGACTTCAGAGAGTGAGAGTGAGTGTGTGTGTCTGAAAGCCCAGGCTCTCAGCTTCATGTACAGCTCCCCGGCGAGAGCATGGCTGCCCGCCACCCTTGGTTCTTGGATCCTCATCAGGAATCTGGGCAGCAGCCTGGCTGGGAGCAGGGAGCTCAGGGAGTAATACAGCTGGGAGTGGGGAGTCGGGACCCCGGGGGAAAGCCCAGCTGGGAGCAGGGAGCCCGAGGCAGCTCAGCTCCAAGCAGGGAGCCCGGTGCTCCAGGTCAGTTGGGAGCCCGGAGCCCCAGGTGAGGGTGGAGTGCAGCCGGGCTCTAGCTAGAAACCCGTACCCGCCCCAGGGTGACAGCCCAAGCTGTGATCAGCCTTCTTGACAAGAATGACAGCCAACAGCCAATGTAAGTAACCAGCAGTGTCTATATGGACACTGCGTCGCACTGAGCCCTACACCTCTTGTGGAGGTGGAGTTATTATGACGATGTAATAGGGCACTTACATCGGCGGGAGCAATGCTGTAGTTTGTACACTGGCATAATTAGGTTGACGTAAGCTGCCTTATGTACATCTAACTTTGTGGTGCAAACCAGGCCTAATAGCATTTTTATAAACTAAGCTCAGAACTGAACAGCAGGAACTGTTGGTATGGGAGGCCAGGGAAAGCATTAAATAATGCTCTGTGACAGAATTTGCATAGCTTCTTTACCCTAGTGGCACTCACACCCTCTTCATTCAAACCCCTGCCCTCAAATTCTCTTCTGAAACACCCACAAATAGTCACCTGTATCAGTAACCCATTTAAAAAAAAAATACAGATGAGAGATTAAATTAAGCACCATCCTCTGGACCCATCAGTGAGAATGTATGCCTGACCTTTGCCAACCTATTTAGTAAGGTCCTTGAGGGCAGGGGAGTATATGTGCTGAGCATAACTGGCATTCAGATTAACAAGAAGAATTGCAAGGGTCATTAAACAGTTTATCAAATTAATCTGAAAGAGAGGAGGAAAAATTATTTCTATATGTCATGCTTATATGAATGGGATGTTCTCACTGAAATAGCTATCAAAAATCACTTATGGATAGATTCTAGGTAAGAATAAATTTTTGCAACACACAATGGCAGTGCAGCTGGAGCTAACTAATAATGAAAGCATAACTACTGAAACATACCTGTTTGAAGAGCTAGGGGTGGAAAAAATATCAACGGCTGGGGTGGTCATTATGCTTCCCGCTGCAGTAGACACAGGAGAGGCTGCTGTCGTTAAAGAGGTATGAGGTTTCTTTGCAAGTTCTTTTAGACGTTGTTCCTGTTGGGAAAGTGAGCTGGCATAAGAAATCGACAAACAAGGTTTGTTTATATGGCTTCTGAAGTAAGTAAAACAAAACTCTAAAGAATTCTCTTTACTTATTTCATACAATAAGATGGCAGTCAAGTATGAATGTCTATTTACATACAGAAAAAAAAGCCAGTACATTTGCGGGGTTAAAAGATGTCACATGCCTGTTTTAGAAACTGAATAACTGATAAAGGGAAAACCCTCCGTAACTTTTATGACCTATTATAAGAAACTCCAATGAGATGCATATGCACAGTATGTGCAATTATAAAAGTGACCTTAACTTTTCTGTAAACAGGAAAACACCTACCTTTAAAGCTTTTAAACGAGCTTGCTCTTCCTCTAATGCAGCTTGTTTTTCCCTTTCATCCACTTTAGTGAGAGACAGGCCAGTGCTCGCAAGGGAAGAGACTGCATTGGAAAGTGTGGTAGCCCTGATAATTGGACAAGGGGAAAAAAACTGGTTGTTCATATATGTGTCACATGATGGGAACAGCTGATCGAAAATGCTTTGCTTGTTTTTTCTCAGTTCCTTTATAGAATTTGTAATCTTAGCCTGTATGACACACAAATCTGAGATTATATAAGCAAGTGTTACTTTAAGAAAAATGAAATTACATTAATAAAATATTGCAGTGCAAAATTTAAGTGCCTATGACTGCAAAATAGGAACTTCTAGAAATGGTGCTATCTACTCTCTTGTACATTGGCTCTGTGATCACTCCCCTTAGAAATGCCCCTTCCAAACTGCCTCATATGAATTCACGTTGAAGATTTTTTCTGTTCCTCTGTTAATTTATGAAAATTCAGCTTAAACAGAGATTTGTACGTTTTGCGGAGGAATAGGAAGTTCTGGTAAGTTATCTACTATATTAAAATACAGTTAAATTAAGCAAGCTATCTGGCTCAATTATGAGACTATAAACACACTTGATACAATGCATTACATTCCCAGGCAAAAGAGTTTTCACAGATTCCAAGGCCAAAAAGGACCATTGTGATAATCTAGGGTAACCGCCTGTTTAATACATAGAAGTTCCCCAAAATGATTCCTAGAACATATTTTAGAAAAAAATCCAACCTTGATTTTAAAATTATCAGCGATAAAGAATCCACTATGACCCTTGGTAAACTGTTCCAATAGCCAATTCCTCTCATCATTAAATATGTGCACCTTATTTCCAGTCTGAATTTGTCTAGCTTCAACTTCCAGCCACTGAACCATGTTTTACCTTTCTTGGATACATTGAAAAGCCCATTATTAAATATCAGTTACCCATGTAGATACTCTCATGCTATAATCAAGTCAACCATAAACCTTCATTTTGTTAAGCTAAATAGATTGAACTTTCACTAGAAAGCAGGTTTTCTAATTCTTTAATCAATCCTGTGGCTCTTTTAAATTTGTGATCACATTTTAAAAACAATGGGAAAATAAACAACTGTTAGAAAAAAAAATCGGTTTGACAAATCTGCTTTACTTTTAAGATAGAGCTGTGGTTCTCAAACTGTGCATCAGGACCCCAAAGTGGGTCGCAACCCCATTTTATGGGCCGAAGCCCAAGTGATTCAGCCCTGGGCAGCAGCGCTCAGGTTACAGGCCCCCTGGCTCGGGTTGAAGCCCTTGGGCTTCGGCTTTGACCCATACCCCGCACAGGGAAGTGGGGCTCAGGCTTTGGCTCCCCTACCAGGGGCAGTGGGAATCAGGTGGGCACAGGCTTTGGTCCCCTGTCTTGGGGTCATATAATAATTTTTGTTGTCAGAAGGGGGTCGCAGTGCAATGAAGTTTGAGAACCCCTGAGATGCACAAAAAATGTTATTTTAGTCTTAAATACACCAGTAAAAAAATTAACCAGTTAGATTTTATTTTACATTATTGTAATTTTGACAGTACAAGTACAGGAAGAGGATAAAAATCATTGAAAACTGGCACTAGCCTACTAAAATTTAGTTTTAAAAGTTACAGTCCTATATTTTACTGTCAACATGTTACACGGAAGTGAATTTTTTAATTTTGTTTTTCTTAAATCTTAGTAGCAACAAAACGAAGAGCAGCGGACTGTCAAGATTTTATTGCCAGGGACATTCCCAAAGAATCTCCAGTTCCCTAGACTATTTTGCATTTTAACAAATGTTAAAAGAGCAGTGGGGCCATCCATTGCCACCACCTTTTATGCCATTTAGTGCCTGATCCCCACTCATGTATTTCGACTCTTTATTTCAGTATTTTTCTGAGAAATAAAAGGACAACCTGAGATATTAAAAGAAATAATGAAGGGCATGCATGTGTTGAGTATTTTACAAAAATACAAATATTCATTTATAAGAACAATCTAATTAATAGTATGGAAAATTGAAGATTTCCAAGCAGCAAGCAAAGGCACCAAAAGTTAGTGTCTCAAGTTGAAGTCTGAAAGTTCTACCATTATGAAGGCTTCTACCATTATGTGAATTGTTCTCAGTTCCGTAGACTCTAGTTGCACTACATTTAGGCCTGGTCTACAATACAAAGTTAGGTTGACATAAGCCTACTTGTGCATTTGTCTACACTTAATTTGTCTCCCACTGATGTAAGTGTCCCATTATGTCAATGTAATAACACCAGCTCCCTGAGTGGCATTAAGTCATGCTTGATGTTCAGATGTCAACACAGAGCAGGTGTAGATACTACATTACTTATGTCAACCCTAGAAGTCCTCCAGCAGCTATCTCAAAATGTCAAACACTGACTGCTCTGGCCACAATTGTGAACTCCAGGGGTCACATACACCACCAGCTCTCCCTCAAAACCCCATTAAAACCCCTGCAAATTTTTGAAATGCCTTTTCCTGGTTGTACAGGGTGGTGAGCACACCTCTATCTGCTTTCCACTGTTGTGTGAAACTGCCAGGCTGACCATGCTGGCTACACACTCCAGATGCACTCCTGCCTAGAGTACACAGGAGATAATGGATCTCTTGGGCCCGTAGGAAGAAGAGACTGTGCAAGCATAGCTCAGAACAAGCTGTAGAAACACTGACATCAATGAGCAGATTGCTTAGGGGATGCAGGAGAAGGGGTGTGTCATAAATATAAAGGGAAGAGTAACCACCTTTCTGTATACAGTGCTATAAAATCCCTCCTGGCCAGAGGCAAAACCCCCTCACCTGTAAAGGGTTAAGAAGCTAAGGTAACCTCGCTGGCACCTGACCCAAAATGACCAATGAGGGGACAAGATGCTTTCAAATCTGGAGGGGGGGGGCGGAGAGGGAGCAAAGGGTTCTGTGTGATGCTTTTGCTGGGAACAGATCAGAAATGCAAGCCTTCCAACTCCTGTGATGTTAGTAAGTAATCTAGCTAGAATGTGTGTTAGATTTTCTTTTGTAATTTAAGGTTTTGCCTAGAGAGATTCTCTATGTTTTGAATCTGATCATCCTGATTTTACAGAGGTGATTCTTTTACCTTTTCTTTAATTAAAATTCTTCTTTTAAGAACCTGATAGATTTTTCATTGTTCTTAAGATCCAAGGGATTGGGTCTGTGTTCACCTGTACCAATTGGTGAGGATCATTATCAAGCCTTCCCCAGGAAAGGGGGTGTAGGGCTTGCGGGGGGGGAGGAGAGGGGGGGAGAGAAAGAAAATATTTTGGGAAAGACGTCTCCAAGTGGTCTCTTTTCCTGTTCTTTGTTTAAAATGCTTGGTAGTGGCAGCACACTGTTCAAGGACAAGGCAAAGTTTGTTCCTTGGGGAAGTTTTTAATCTAAGCTGGTAAGAATAAGCTTAAGGGGTCTTTCATGCAGATCCCCACATCTGTACCCTGGAGTTCAGAGTGGGGAAGGAACCTTGACATGGTGGCAGAGCGGTGGGATCATTTTGAACTAGAAGCACAGCAGGATTTTAAAATGTTTTGTAAATGGTGATTGCAGCTGTAGATTCCGTCTCTCTGCCTGAGGGACAGAGTAGCAGCCATAACAAAAGGTTTCAGAGTAACAGCCGTGTTAGTCTGTATTCGCAAAAAGAAAAGGAGTACTTGCGGCACCTTAGAGACTAACCAATTTATTTAAGCATAAGCTTTCTTTCTGACTCTCGGATGTAAAATTAGTTAAAAACAGAGAGGTCAGGATGACAGAATACAATGTTCAACGGAAGCTGGAATTAGCCAGATTTGAGGCTGAGGAAAGACAAAAGGAACATGAAAGACTGACAGAACTCAGACAGATGGAGATGGATGCACAAGCGGCCAAAGAAAAAGAAATCGAGGCTTCCACACCAGGAGAGCTGTGAAGGAGAAGGAAAAAGAAACGGAGGAGAGGGAAAGAGAGAGGACGCATGCTGAGGAGGCAAAGGAAAAAGAAATGGAGGAGAAGGAAAAAGAGAGGAAGCATGCACTGGAGATGGAGAAGGCAAAAACTCAGCAGAATATACCGAATAACCCTAACAATCCACAAATGGGAGCGACTATGTCCACAGTATAATGAATCCAGTGATATTGCTGAATATTTTCTCACCTTTGAGAGACTGTGCACACTCCATCAAATTCCTGAAGCTCACAAGATGACCACATTGGTTGCAAAATTGACTGGAAGAGCTCTGGACATATTCAATAAGATGCCTACTGAGGAGGCTTCTGACTATAATAAATTCAAGGATTTTGTTTTAAAACAATTTCAAGTTACACCTGAAACTTACAGAGTAAAATTTAGAGCCCTTAAGAGAGGACCTGGACTAAGTAATGTGGCTTATGTAAACCAGATGACAGGCCTGTTTGCTAAATGGCTCAACGGAAGGGATGTAACTAGCTTTGGAGGAATATGGAATTTGATGATACAGGAGCAATTCCTGAATATGTCCAAGAATGATATAAAACAGTGTTTATGAGATAAGAAAATGGACTCAGCAGGAAGTCTTGCTTCTTATGCTGATCAATACGAGCAGTCCCAGACCGCCAGAGAGGCAGGGCAAACTGGAACAAAACAGGTAGAGGGAGGAGAGAGGAACAACCCTGCTCGCAGTGGGAGCGGATACCAGAAGGGACACCCTCAGGCCACACCCTACTACTGGGGGCAGCCCAAGGCCCCAACTACACCCCAAGGAACACTCCAGAAACCTTATCGTCCCACCACACCGTTCTCCAGCAACCCACCTCGCCCCAGTGACCTGTCAGCTGAACGATGTTTTAAATGTAACAAGCCAGAGCATGTAAAGGCTAACTTCCCCAAGAACCCCAATAGATTACAGTTCATTGCACTGGAATCACACCAGGGGTCCTCAGGACCAGATGCCTCCCAGATACCCTCAGAGCAGAGGGAAACCGTGACCGTGGGCGGGAAGAAAGTCACAGCGTGGAGGGACACCGGAGCACAAGTGTCTGCTATCCATGCTTCCTTAGTGGACCCCAATTTAATCAACCCAGAGGTCCAAGTGATGATTCAACCCTTCAAGTCAAACTCTTTTTACTTGCCTATAGCCAAGCTGCCGGTCCAGTAAAAGGGCTGGTCAGGAACATGGACTTTTGCAGTCTATGATGATTATCCCATCCCCATGCTGTTGGGGGAAGACTTGGCCAATCATGTGAAGCTAGCCAAGAGGGTGGGAATGGTCACCCGCAGCCAGGCTAAGCAAGCTGTCACACCTAGCCGTGTTCCGTAAATTTCTACCAGGACCCGGTCATGATGGAACCGGACCCCATGACAACATCTGCAACAGCAGTAGTGGATCCAGTCCCAGAGACCCAGACAGAGCCAGTCCCAGATCCAGCGGAACCACCAGCACCGAATCCAGTACTTGCAACCCCAACGTCAGAGGGCCCCACCGAACCTGCACTGGCACCAGCAGATAACCCGACAAGAGGTTCAGCTGAAGCCTGAACCCCAACATGCGGAGCGGAGTGCACCAGCGGAGAGTGGTTCACAGTCAATGGAAACAGCCCCATCACCTGCACTGCTTCCAGAGGGACCAAGCCCAGGTCAACAATCCAATGAGGAACTGATGTCTCCAGCATCAAAGGAACAGTTCCACACTGAAAAGGAAGCAGATGAAAGCTTCCAGAGAGCTTGGATAGTGGCACGGAGCAACCCACCGCCTCTCAGATCTTTTAATCGATCCAGGTTTGTTGTAGAAAGAGGACTTTTATACAAGGAAACTCTTTCTGGTGGACATCAGGAAGACTGGCATCCTCAGAGACAGTTGGTAGTTCCAACTAAGTACCGGGTAAAGCTCTTAAGCTTAGCCCACGATCATCCTAGCGGCTATCCTGGGGTGAACAGAACCAAAGACCATTTGGGAAAGTCGTTCCACTGGGAGTGAATGGGCAAGGATGTTTCTACCTATGTCCGGTCTTGTGAAGTGTGCCAAAGAGTGGGAAAACCCCAAGACCAGGTCAAAGCCCCTCTCCAGCCACTTCCCATCATTGAGGTTCCATTTCAGCGAGCAGCTGTGGATATTCTGGGTCCTTTTCTGAAAAAGACACCCAGAGGAAAGCAGTACACACTGACTTTCATGGATTTTGCCACCTAATGGCCGGAAGCAGTAACACTAAGCAACACCAGGGCTAAACGTGTGTGCCAGGCACTAACAGACATTTTTGCCAGGGTAGGTTTGCCCTCTGACATCCTTACAGATGCAGGAAATAATTTCCTGGTAGGAACTATGGAAAGCCTTTGGGAAGCTCATGGGGTGAACCACTTGGTTGCCATCCCTTACCACCACCAAACAAATGGCCTGGTGGAAGAGTTTAATGGAACTTTGGGGCCATGATACGTAAATTCGTAAATGAGCACTCCTATGATTGAGACCTAGTGTTGCAGCAGTTGCTCTTTGCCTACAGAGCTGTACCATATCCCAGTTTAGAGTTTTCACCATTTGAATTTGTATATGGCCGCGAGGTTAAGGGGCCATTACAGTTGGTGAAGCAGCAATTGGAGGGATTTACACATTCTCCAGGAACTAACATTCTGGACTTTGTAACCAACCTACAAAACACCCTCTGAACCTCTTTAGCCCTTGCTAAAGAAAACCTGAAAGATGCTCAAAAAGAGCAAAAAGTCTGGTATGATAAACATGCCAGGGAGTGGTCCTTCAAAGTAGGGGACCAGGTCATGATCTTAAAGGCCCATAAAATGGAAGCGTCGTGGGAAGGGCCATTCACGGTCCAAGAGCGACTGGGAGCTGTTAATTATCTCATAGCATTCCCCACCTCCAACTGAAAGCTTAAAGTGTACCCTATTAATTCTCTGAAGCCCTTTTATTCCAGAGAATTAAAGGTTTGTCAGTTTACAGCCCAGGGAGAAGAGGAGGCTGAGTGGCCTGAAGGTGTATACTACGAAGGGAAAAGTGATGGTGGCGTGGAAGAGGTGAACCTCTCCATGACCCTTGGGCGTATGCAATGACAGCAGATCAAGGAGCTGATCAAGCGACACTCATGTCTGACCCTGTGCTAAGGGCCCCAGACTTTGACAAACCATTCCTAGTAACCACAGATGCGTCCGAGCGTGGTGTGGGAGCAGTCTTAATGCAGGAAGGACCAAATCAAGAGTTCCATCCTGTCATGTTTCTCAGCAAGAAGCTGTCCACTGGTCAATCAGTGAAAAGGAATGTAATGCCATCATCTACGCTCTGGGAAAGCTACGCCCATACTTTTGGGGACGGCGTTTGCACCTGCAAACTGATCATGCTGCGCTACAGTGGCTTCACACCACCAAGGGAAATAACAAAAAACTTATTCGGTGGAGTTTAGCTCTCCAAGATTTTGATTTCGACATACAACACATTTCAGGAGCTTCTAACCAAGTGGCTGATGCACTCTTCCGTGAAAGTTTGCCAGAATCAACTGGTTAAAAACGTCCTTGAGATGTGGAAAATACTGTTTGTCTTCATAGAGTTAGTAGTATATTTAGAGGTGCATGTGTCTTATTAACTCTGTTTTCTCCTAGAGCTCCAGGAAGAAATCACAGCCAGTGTTTCACTCTGTTATTTGGGGGGCATGTCATAAATGTAAATTGAAGGGTAACCACCTTTCTGTATACAGTGCTATAAAATCCCTCCTGGCCAGAGGCAAAACCCTTTCACCTGTAAAGGGTTAAGAAGCTAAGGTAACCTCAAAATGACCAATGAGGGGACAAGATGCTTTCAAATCTGGAGGGGGGACGGGGGAGGGACAAAGGCTTCTGTCCATCTGTGTGATGCTTTTGCTGGGAACAGATCAGAAATGCAAGCCTTCCAACTCCTGTGAAGTTAGCAAGTAATCTAGCTAGAAAATGTGTTAGATTTGCTTTTGTTTAATGGCTGGTAAAATAAGCTATGCTGGAGGGAACGTATATTCCTGTTTTTGTGTCTTTTGGTAACTTAAGGTTTTGCCTAGAGGGATTCTCTATGTTTTGAATCTGATCACCCTGTAAGGTATTTACCATCCTGATTTTATAGAGGTGATTCTTTTACCTTTTCTTTAATTAAAATTCTTCTTTTAAGAACCTGATAGATTTTTCATTGTTCTTAAGATCCAAGGGTTTGGGTCTGTGTTCACCTGTACCAACTGGTGAGCATTATTATCAAGCCTTCCCCAGGAAAGGGGGTGAAGGGCTTGGGCAGGGGGATATTTTGGGAAAGACGTCTCCAAGTGGTCTCTTTCCCTGTTCTTTGTTTAAAACGCTTGGTGGTGGCAGCATACTGTTCAAGGACAAGGCAAAGTTTGTACCTTGGGAAATTTTTTAACCTAAGCTTGTAAGAATAAGCTTAGGGGGTCTTTCATGAGGGTCCCCACATCTGTACCCTACAGTTCAGAGTGGGGAAGGAACCTTGACAGGGTGCAACAAGGACCAGCAGCAGTGCCGCGTGAAAGCCAATGAACTGCAGCAGACATACCAGAAAGCCAGTGAGGTCTAGTCGATCGGGTGCTGAGCTGCAGACCTGCTGCTTTTACATCAAGCTTTTTGCCATACTTGGCCAACACCCCATCACCACCCTGCATACCACCAGGGATACTTCCAAGGACCCCAAGTTACAGGCCCCTGCTGTGACCAGCAAGGAGGGGTAAAGGAACAGGTGAGCTGGGGGGTTGGGGGGGTGAGCCAGGACTTGTTTTTGACTCCACTGAAATCTAGTCAGTCCCAGCAGGCGAGCCAGATACAGGAAAAAGAACCTTGGGTGAGTGTGTAAATGCATTTTCCATTACAATGATGGCACCCCCAAATTAGCAAGACACAGCTAGCAACTTTTACTTAATTTATTTGCACTAGAAGAGGTACTGGAACAACAAAAAGAGAGTTGTTATCTGCTTTTCATTCCCCTCTAGAGTTAGGCAGGGCAGTTTGTTTATGTACACAGGGATGACCCTTGAATCCTGAGAGATGTTGATGAAACTTCCACAGAAGTACACAGCAATCCTCTATCGAAAGTTTTAGGGATGGCAGCCTTATTTCTTCCTCCACAGAAGGACACTTTCCCTCAGCGATTACTGCAATGGGGCCTGCAGAAATTAACAGGCTACTGGCATAAGAGGACGGAGCTCATCTGATAACCCTTGTGTCTGTCTGTCCAAATTCAACAAACAGCCGTTCCATTCCACCCTCCACCCCTTTGGCAAATTTTCTCCCATGGCTTCACAGATATTATGCAGGACACAACAGGCAACTATAATCAAGGGGATATTTTTCACACAGATCAATCCAACGAGTAAACAATGCCAGGGACACTTCAATCTATCAAAAGCACATTCAGCTATCACTGTGCACCTGCTCAGTCCGCAGCTGAATCTTTCTTTGCTGCTGTCAAGGTGGCTGGCGTACGGCTTCATGAGCCAGGGGAGCTAAGGGGTCAGCTGGGGAGTTAAGAAGGAAAGAAGCAGATGTAGGGAGCCAAGTATGCACACAGACAAGCAATATAGTAACTACAGCAGCTGTCTGCTGATGTAACTTGAATTGGCAAGCTTTGTAGTGTAGACATGGCCTGAGACTGGAAAGCTTTACGTTGTTTAACCAAATACTACGCAGTCAACAGCACCAAATACATCAACTGTTTCAGTACTGCAACAGCAACATGATGTTCATTTCAACACAACCCATACAGACTATTTCAGGATGGGAATTTCAAAGTAAGGAACCTAACATTTGATTCTTAACACAACTGTATAAGAGGACAAAAGGCAGATATACCTGCTTGCAGCTGTGGAGTCTTTGATTTTCTTTCCCTCTAAAGAGGCTAAATGTTGTTCCAAAGCATCAAGAAGACTGCTTGGTGCCTGCAAAAGGGCAGTGAGGGCATAGATATGAAAAATCCAAGACAAAACCAGGCACCAGCTAAAAAAAATAAAAAAGAAAGGTATGATCCTGTCACCACAGTGCCAGAGAATGCAACTGAGGGTAACCGGACATGGTCTACAGCTCAAAATATTGACATCACAGTATTTTGGCACTAAGAACATAATAAATTGAGAAAAGTATTTTATATTATCAAGTGGTACAATATCATCCACTACTATGCCAGTTCTATTAATCATGAGTAGGCCCCTACCAAATTCACAGTCCATTTTGGTCACTTTGATGGTCATAGGATTTTAAAATAATAAATTTAATGATTTTCAGATTTTTAAATCTGAAAATTTCACAGTATTGTAACTGTAGGGGTCCTGACCCCAAAAGGGATAGTGGGGGCATTGCAAAGTTATTGTAGGTGGGGTCATGGTACTGACACCCCTACTTCTGCACTGCTGCTGGCAGCAGCACTGCCTTCACATTTGGGCCGCCGGAGAATGGCATCTACTGGCTGGGAGTCCAGCTCTGAAGGCAGAGTCGCCGCCAGCAGCAGCCCAGAAGTAAGGATGGCATGGCATGGCATTGCCATCCTGACTTCTGTGCTGCTGCCTGCAGAGCTGGGCCCTCGGCCAGCAGCCACCACTCTCCAGCCGCCAAGCTCTGAGGGCAGCACAGAAGTAAAGATGGCAATACCATGAACCCCCTACAGTAACCTTGCAAACCCCATCGCACGACCCTCTTTTGGGTTGGGACCCCCAGTTTGAGAAACACTCATCTCCCCTGTAAAATCTGTGTAGTACACGGTAATAGTACATACAAGATCAGATTTCACGGTGGAGACCAGATTTCCTGGTCCGTGACACATTTTTCATGGCCATGAATTTGGTAGGGTCCTTCTCATGATTGCTCCTATCAAAAAAAAGAAAAGGAGTACTTGTGGCACCTTAGAGACTAACCAATTTATTTGAGCATGAGCTTTCGTGAGCTACAGCTCACAAAAGCTCATGCTCAAATAAATTGGTTAGTCTCTAAGGTGCCACAAGTACTCCTTTTCTTTTTGCGAATACAGACTAACACGGCTGTTACTCTGAAACCTAGCAAAAAAGAAATCCATGAAAATGTTGGAAAATAAACAAAGAAAACAGACAATTGAAATGAGTAGTCTGTGCCAACTGAGATTAAAAAGGAAGCTGTACCCATCTGAAGCAATACACACATATATATACACAAACTGAAAGTCTTAACAAGTGATTAAATGGCACTTTGAAGCCTTCTGCTTCGAGTAGCCACCTTGCTAAGGGATCTCATTTGTGAAAGCTGCATTACGTGAGCCTCTGCTACAAACAGATCAGTTTCCATCATACTTTAAAATTGGTTTTAAACTTAGGAATTTCATGTTTATTCAAATATTTGATTTTAATTCTCTATTTTCTGCTCTCAAGATGACATTAATTTGATAATCGTAATATATTGCAACTGTAATTAGTTTGCATTTTCATACATTTCATCGTGGAATTTGTGAGTGAAAGACTTTCTGGTTAGAGTTCAATTTCGTCATGACTCATCTAATAATTTAAGAATATGGTGATAATGTATGCAAGAAAACCAATACATGACTCCACATTTTTCTGAACATGCAAAGAAAGAAAAAGAAAGATGTATGCACATATGCATAACAGTTTATGTACCTGAGAAAGATCTGGTATGTCTCCTCTGTCAATTCCAACTTGCTGTAACAAAACAGATTTATAAGCTTTAGAACTGACTACTGTTTATTTAAAGATTACTTGTTAAAAAGCAGAAATCACATTAACATGATGTCATGCAAGAAAAGAAAAAATCCCCTATACTCTTTTTAGTTTACATAATTTGAGCTCTAGTAAATTTTTAGATTAAAATAGATGTAAAAAAAAATCAAAGGAAACCTATGTAAAATATATGTATATGTTTGGCTGTAGTGAGTTTAAAACGTTATCAAATCTAACCTAGGGAGGTGGTAGAATCTCCTTCCTTAGACGTTTTTAAGGTCAGGCTTGACAAAGCCCTGGCTGGGATGATTTAATTGGGGATTGGTCCTGCTTTGAGCAGGGGGTTGGACTAGATGACCTCCTGAGGTCCCTTCCAACCCTGATATTCTATGATTCTAAGTTTGGAGTGCCCTTCCTGATGGTCCACAGGAGAGATTTTGAGAATCAAGCAGGTGATGGTTTGTGTTAGAGAAATGCTCTCATGAATCTCCGTTCCTTACAAAGTAGTTTATAGAATGTAAGCACTGAGAACTACTGACACAGTATGTAGTTGGAAGTACAAAAATAGTATATTGCATTGATACAGCCCCTTTTACCCTCCAAGTTCCAGATCACTCTACAAGCTATACAACATAGACATCTTAACTCAACAGCCATCTCTGTTGTAAAACATCATATGGGTTTCACAGTGCAGACTGACACTACACAACAATTTAGAACCGTAAAGTGATAAGTACCAAATCCGACAAACTGCAGCAGGGAGAATTTTAGATAGGCAGAACATAATTATCCTTTCTGGAATTTGACCAGGACACTTAGATTAGCACTTTACTGCTCAGACTGAAATCTCTTCTGAAGGACATTAGTTCAGCAAAGCTTCAGAAGAATGTATGCTACAACCCACTGAACCAACAAGAAAAAACAAAAAAAAAATGCACTGCATGCAACAGAAGTTTTTAGATGCTGTAAAACTCCTTGTGAAATCCCCTATTATCAGCTTCAGCCATTGCTTTCTGATTTAATGTTGATCCTCAAATTCTTTCATCTCTCAAGTTTGACATAGCAGAATTGTTGGTGCAAAACAAAAAAAGGGCTAGACATGTCTCAAAAGAAAAAGACCACCACACACACACTTTTCTTCTTCCGAATTTTACTTTTTAAAGAAGACTAAGCGGAGCATATTTTGTGTGTGTATACAAGCTAACATGCAATATCTCCCTGGACCACAGTAGCTACTAGCCTCTTATACAGTAGGAGATTTATATATTTATTCTTGTATCCTCTTCTCAGCAAAGAACAGCTACTTCTCAGCAAAGAACTGTTGAAAAATGTATTTCTTTCAATATGCAGGCCCTTAATGAGCTGGTCCCCTTCGTATTAAACTCTGATAAAATGCTCCTTGATAGACATTAAATCTGCCAAATGGAAAGGAAACGTAGCTGCTTTATCAGAGTTAAGTATTTTATAAACTGTTTGAGCATGAAGGCAATTCTGGCCCAGTTAAGATTTACCTCTGCAACTTTGAGAAACTCTGAGATCCTTGTCATTCTAGTGAGGAACTTCTTATATATGTCAAGGCCTTCTTTGCACTGGTTTTTTTTCATGTCAAAGTATTTTTCTGAAAATGGGAAAAGTATTCAAGTCACGTAAGAAATAAATATACTGTATATATTTTAAACATGTACAAGTAACTATAATGCAAGACAAAAGTTACTTCACTCGTCACTGTGAAAAAGGAAGTATCTGCAGCCTTGTTTCTTCACTTTTCAACATTAATGGTGGAGGCAACTATGATGCCGCATGAGAGGGGGAAGAGCAGGCAACATTAATATTGGTGTCAATGCTTATGCTGGCCAAGACAAAGACAAAATTAAATGATTTTTGTACATTTTCCCTTTCTCCGACACTTGATGTTTTTGGTTCAATCTCCAAAAATGTTTTAACATGGTTAGAGATTTTAGTACATGTATCTGTATCTGGAAATCCCAATGCCAAGCCACAAGGTTATCTGACAAACAAAAAGTTGGTCAAATAGGTGGAGTTACTAAGCAGGCTGTTTACAGAGACAACTGTAACAATGAACACAGATTAACTTCCTCCCACCAGTTAAAAAAACTAAAGTGGGTGTGGCAGAATTGAAGCTGCTTTGTAATTTCTGAATACTGATGTTGACCTGGTTACTGGGATTTTTACTCTGCAAACACTTGTGGGTTGCTAGGGACAATGCTTGAACTGTTAGCTTTGAAGATTTTACCCTACTTCCCAGCCAACCTGAGAAACCAGTTTTGGACTAGAAAGGCCAAAGCCCAGGAACACAGGAAAAAAAACCATGCCAGTTAAAAAAGGCTTGTTCCCTCAAGATAAAACAGAGGTTGGGGGAGCCAGAATGAGACCAACATACTGGGGTTCCTGAAGAAGTTAGATCTGCCTAGTTTACTACCAGGAATAAGATGCTAAAATAAGTCATTCCTTTTAACTTAAATTTTAATATTACTTACAGGTTTAAGTTCCTCTGTCCCTCCAGTGTTTTGGCACATGAAAAGATATAAGTAATTCCGCTTTTAAGGCATACTCAATGTATAGGGTCCTACCAAATTCATGGTCCATTTTGGTCAATTTCACGGTCATAGAATTTAAAAAATCGTAAGTTTCATGATTTTAGCTATTTAAATCTGAAATTTCATGGTGTCATAATTGTAGGGATCTTGACCCAAAAAGGAGTTGCAAGGTTATTGTGGTGGTTGCAAGGTTATTGCGTGTGGGGGGGGGAAGGGCGGGGTGGTGTTACGGTACTGCCACCCTTTCTTCTGCGCTGCTGCTGGCAGCGGCGCTGCCTTCAGAGCTGGGCAGCAGTGGCTGCTGGCTGGGAGCCCAGCTCTGAAAGCAGCGTGGTGCAGAAATAAGGATGGCATGGTACGGTATTGCCATCCTTACTTCTGCACTGCTACCTGCAGAGCTTGGCCCTCAGTCAGCAGCCACCACTCTCTGACCACCCAGCTCTGAAGGCAGCAGTGCAGAAATAAGGATCTCATGGTATGGCATTGCCACTATTACTTCTGTGCTGTTGCTAGCGGGCGCTTGGCCAACAGCCACTGCTCTCTGGCCACCCAGCTCTGGAGTCAGTGCAGAAGTAATGGTGGCAACACCATGACTCCCGCCCCCTACAACTCCCTTTTGGGTGAGGACCACCAATTTAAGAAATGCTGGTCTCCCCCGTGAAATCTGTAAAGCACACAAAAAACAGATTTTATGGGGGGAGACCAGATTTCACGGCCCGTGACACATTTTTCATGGCCATTAATTTGGTAGGTCCCTATCTACGTGATAGATCACGGGTCAGCAACCTTTCGGAAGTAGTGTGCCAAGTCTTCTTTTATTCATTCTAATTTAAGGTTTCACGTGCCCGTAATACATTTTAACATTTTCATAAGGTCTCTTTCTAGGAGTTTATAATATATAACTAAACTATTGTTGTATGTAAAGTAAATAAGGTTTTTAAAATGTTTAAGAAGCTTCATTTAAAAATTAAATTAAGATGCAGAGCCCCCCGGACCGGTGGCCAGGACCCAGGCAGTGTGAGTGCCACTGAAAATCAGCTCACATGCCACCTTTGGAACACTTGCCTACCCGTGATAGATCATGCTATCATTGAGAGCAGGTACTCGTTTCACAGGGATGAGCAACAACATAAAAACCTTCACAGCCAGCCAAATATCCAAATATAATACATACAAAAGATTATAAACACCGTTAGAATTAAGTTCTAACTATGGAAGCTAAACTCTCTATGCTTCTTTAACAATTATCACAGTGGAGAAAAAACTGTCAATTTTCCTATTTGATTTTGAGTCGAGGTTCTCGGTGACAGGAGGAAAACCAGTTCAAGGAAAAATAATTTTCTATGCCAAAAATTCTTGGACTTTGTTTTTAGGAAATTGCATACTTTGGATTACATGTAAGGAAAGTACTAACAAGGCAAAAGAATCCTTGGCAATAAAGCTGTCCCAAAAAACTGAAGATTTTTTTAAAGCAGTACATGAAGATAGAATGTTTTGCCTTATTCTTTAAAGATCCAAACAGCTGTAAATTCTGAAAAAATTTATATACCCTTGTTTACTGAAAACACAAAGAACTAATTCTGCAGAGTAGAGTAATATTTACCCAGAAGGTTAATAATTCCTTCATTATAAGCTGCAAAGAGTCTAATGGCATCTTTGAAGAGAAGCATGAAGGCAGCATTTATTACACCATTTGTAAGCTCATTGCTATTGACCTAGGGAGATTAGAAAAGAAAGTTAGCTCATCTGGATTGACATTTTGTCAGAAAACTTCCAATTAATAATTACATTTCAATATTCTACCCAAAGACATGCTTTCCATTAGCAAATGTACTGTTTATAGAACATGGCAGCATTCCAAGTTAAACGGAACTTCTATCAGCATCAAAGATGACAAGTTAAATAATCAAAGAAAAGCAGGTCAACAAAAATACATAACTAATATATCACATATTTAGAGGGGCCAAAAGAATAATTAGAGTAAATTTTGTTTATTTAAAAAACTTACTGAATGCATGTACCCCTAAATGAACATTAATGAAGTGGTTGTCTTATTAGGCCATCAGTACTTCAGGTTAAGCATACCAGGCAATGTTCCAGGTATATTTTGCTCTTCAAACGAACTATATTAGACTGGACACAACAAGTTAAAAATATGGAAGGGAATTTTACTTTGTACATATTGCATCACTTGTTTTCATAGCTTGTGAAAAGCTGTGGAGGAAAAGTCCAGCTGTGTTAATTGACAGTGTCTCTGATGTGTGAAGAAATTAAACTTACATTGAAGTCAAGAAGTGCATCCATCTGATTTTGTATAATTGGTACAGTTTTAAGGAGTTTTTCTGTGTTCATTGTCCTCATGACTCCATCAGCCCTATTATGCAAACAGAAAACAGAAAACAAACCACCAGTTGGATTATGAAAGAATATTTTTATTAGGAATATGAAACACTGGAGCATATGAAACAGATCAAAAGAACAGCAATGCTAGAGGCAGCATATTCAGACGACTGAAGTAAGTAACCGGAATGCCTTGTAATATTCAATTTGTCTGGCCAAAAGAATGGCAATGATTGTCCAGAAGAGCAACATCCAGCTCTCCTTGGCCAGAAGACAGCACACCTGTTACGGGGTCTTCAAGGACTGATCTTTATTCTCCGAGACCAACAGAAATAGCCATGCTCAGAACTATTACAATGTGATCTATGATGCAAGAGGTGGCTATAGAAGTATTAGCAGCATTTTAAAAAGCTTGTTTCAAAGACAAATTTTAAAAAATTCTAAAAAACTCTTTTCAAATTAGCTTTTGAAACCTATTTCTGAAACAGAAATTGCCTACACTTTTCTAATTGCCTAAATGTTGTTTCAATTGTAAATCTAGGGTTATTAGTGAAACGTAAAACAGCAGTCAAATCAGTGTGACAAGATCTTTTAAAGCTTGTCTCTCTCACCAACAGAAACTGCTTCAATGAAAGATACTAACTCACCCACCTTGTCTCGCTAACATCTTTTAAAAGCATTCATAAAATGTAGAATTATAAATACACTGTCTGGAAATCTGAAGTTACAGGAACACTGAACAAGATCTTACAATTATACTTGACAAGTTTTTTTAAATAAAATAATTGGATTTTTTTTTTAAAAGAGAATGTCAGTTATCTGTGTCTATTTAACTTTCATTTGGCTGATATTTTAAACTAGATACCCAGAGAAGACACAAAGGCTAAGAGAAAAAGAAGGTGCCCTAGGAGGAAACTAACAACAAAAATTGATAGTAAACATTTGCTTTCTACACTACACGGACTTAAAAACAACATTCACTTTATGTAAAAAGGCTTGATACCAAAGTCAAAACTTCTACCTCTTATAACCTCTCGCTTGTTCAAACTAAAAATCAGAATCCACTGGACTCTCTGTAGCACAAAAGGCTGAGGATTATTACAGCTGGAAAAAGCCAAACATGTCAAGGAACGAACACCAGCAATAACTTTCTCCTATTAACAGAATTCCTTACAATTAAAAACAGTCCTTTTGCCTGTTGGTCAGGTGGTGAAAGAATGGTTAACTACCCTATAGTAGATGTGCTTCTTCAAGAGGGGTGTCCACAAGGATCACACTCTTGGTGCACTTGGACCCCAGGTGGACATGGGTGGGTTCTTTTTGCTAGTAGTGTGTGTTGGGGCCACAGCTGCACCCTAGATATTCTTGCCCACCCCAAGGGCATAAAAGACAGATCAGGATCAATCGTCCCTCAGTTCCTTCACCAATACAGAATCTCAGAGGAGTACAACTTTGCAGTAATGGGGAAGGAGAGCAGGTCATGGAATCCACGTAGACATCTCTAAGAACCACAGTTGCTGTAAGTAACCATTCTCTCCAAGTAATTGTCTATAGGGATTCCACCTTAATACCATTAGATCAAGCGTATGAAGTTTAGCTTTCCCAGGGTGTGAGCCAGACTTGTGGAAGAAAACTGGGAGATGAATAAACTTGTTCATCTGAAACATGAAAAAAACTTTGGGCAGGAACATGGGATGAGGCCTTTTCTTATGGAACCCTAAATAAGGGAGATCCGCCCTGAGTGCCTGAATCTTCCCTACCCTTCAAGCTGATATAATGGCAGTCTTCATTGGTAGGTTATACAGGGAACAAGTTGCTAAGAGCTCAATGTGGGGGACCCTGAATCCTGTTACATTGAGGACCCAGAAGGAGGGGGAGCACAAGCTGGGGGAGAAACATTAATAATGCACTCAAGGAATCTAGCCAGTGTAGAGCAAGAAAATACACTGCAGTCCTGGAAAGAAAGGTGATTTGCAGATACTGCTACTAGATGAAGCGTTACGGAACAAACCAAGTCCACATTGTTTCAGGACTAGTGTATAGTCCAATATTGCTGAATGGGTGTTGTTGAGGGAAGACAGCTGGTGACAAGATGCCCAAATAGAAAGCCTCTTTCATTTATGAAGCTAGCTTAGTCTAGTTGAGGCTTTCCTGTTTTGGAACAGAATATTCTAAATTTCAGATCCACAGATTCTTTTGGGGGATGTCAGTTATATCTGACAGTCTAGATCATGGCTAACAAAAATGGGTCCATCTGTAGAATTTGATGGTTCTCAAGGCTATTGGGCATCAAAGGCAAAGTGACTGCGGGCTACACTGAGAGGTTCACCAGATCTGAATGCCAGAATTGCCTGGCCCCATCAGGGCGGTCATGATTATCAATCATGCATCTTGTCTCAGCTACCTCATGACTCTCTGTAATATGGGAGTTGGAAGGAAGACATATCTCAGGCCTGCCATCAGGGGATGAGAAAGACATATGACAGGGAACCTGCACTGGAAACCTCCGTGGAGCAGAATACTTGGCATTTCTTATTCTGGTCTGTTTGGATATCCCCCCTTGGGAAAGACGCTCTGCAACACTGGGCTCTTGACCAGTCACCTGTGGTTGTCTGAGAACTGTCTGTTGAAGTGATCTGCTAGCGAGTTCTGAACACCTGAAAGATGCAGGGCCAGTGGCATGGTCCAGTGATGAATACACTAAGCCCAGAGCCAAATGGCCTCCTGGCAGAGTGGAGATGACCTAACCTCTCTGTCTGTTGACATAATGCATAGTTGTGGTGCTATATCAGCCCTGGAATAGCAGATCCGTGCAGTTGAGACAGGATGCTTTGCATGCGAAGCAGATGGCTCAGTTCCAGGACATTTATGTGCAGATGAGCTCCAGGAAGGGACCACAGGCCCTAAGTTACAAAGTGATCTAGATGAGCCTCCCATCCCTGGGTGCAGACATGTGTCAGAGTTTTAGTTGGTAGAGGTGCAGAGAAAAGTACAACGTTGCACACCTGCAATGGGTCTTCCGCAGTTAATGTGGACAGGACTTCTTGTGGAATCCTGACCAACATGGCTATATGGGGATCTGCTGCATAGATGCACTGATTTCAACTGCCCTTTCCTGGAGACTAGGCAAAGTCTGGCAAGCTGTCTCAGAAGTATGAGGCTGTATGTCCCAGAAGTCTGAGTCATGGTCTTACTGATGTCTTTGAGAGAGCTTGTAGCTGATCAGGTCTATGGTTTGGAGTCTTCTGGAAGATAAGCTCTTGCTGACACTGCTTCTATGAGCTCTAAGCTTTGAAATAAAAGTAAATGTGGGTATTTCTCCACTGATTTTGAGGCCCTATGTGGCAAAGAGCTTTAAGATCACCTACAGAGGTGATACTCCCTGGATCAATCCATTATCGAGGTAAGGGTAGACCTGGATTCCTTGCCTCCTTAAGCGAGCTGCTACCACTGCCAAGTACTTAGTAAACACTCTTGGGAAGACCAGTATCACCATCTCGAGTTTGAAATGATGAACAAACCCGTTGAGACAAATGCCCAGAATGGGACACCAATCTTTTTTTCTCTTTGGTATGGAGAGTTCACAATCAGGGGATTTTATTCCCATTACTTTAAGAAGAGAGTCCATCTCTTGCTTCAATAGTATCTCGGGGGATAAGGTGGCTGAAGAATGCAGGTGGATGCCTAACAAGCATGAAAGGTTAGTAAAAGGAGTAATAAAAATTCTCTTTTTAAGGCATATAGGCAAACAAAGTTAACTACTTAACAGCTACATTAACTATTCACTCTCACCAACTATAACACAGTCACAGAGAAGCAGGACGACACTGCAAGGGTTCCTTCTTGCTGCTGCAGGAAGTAGAAACTGAGGGATGGCTGGTCCCACCCTTTATACCACTGGTGGGGGTGGGGGCAAAAAGACATCTGGGGCACAGGGTTGGCCCCAGCAAGTACTGTTGGCCAAAAGAACCAGATCTTGTGTCAATAGGGAACATGAGCACCAAGAGCAGAATCCATGTGAACATTCACTTGAAGCATGGTTAATTTATTGCTTCAACTACATTAGAGCCACCATGGCTTTAACGTATGCCATATCTAAAGCAGTTGCTTAACCAGCAGTTAGCCATTGTATGTCATAGATACATAAATTGATCAGGTGTCTTCCCCCACTCCCCATCCCATAAAAGGCATGATGGTCATTCTGTGTAATTACCATTATACATAGTACATTATAGTACTATGGACTGTACAAACAGCCACTTTGAGAGTGGCATGAAGAAGGAACAGACAGTACAGCAAGGTATTTCACATAAATGCCCATCTCCATTATCTTCTCAAATGAGAAGTGTAGTTAAACACCAATGGTGCCAAACACAAGACAGCTTTCTGGCATATCAAGAAACATTTTATTGGCCAGATCAGGTAGCTACCACCAGTTGCTTCAATCCGATGCACAGACTGATTTCCGTTTCATTTTTTTCAAAAGACAGTGCTCCCCAAAATTTCTGAAGACACATTACAACTCAACTGCACTGACATTTTTGGTGCATAATGCACAGAGTATATTGATCAATACCAGTGAAAAGATAACCAACTTGGTTATCTGAGAACAGCTTGTTAGTATGTACTGCAAGCCACATCTTAAAGATGAGAAAAATAAAAACTACAGTTCTTACCCTCTTTTTACTTTGGTGAAGTCAAAAGCCACTTGTCTGTAAGAAACTGCTTTTTCATTCAGATACCTACTATACCGTCTGATAAATGTGGACATGTCATACCCTAAAAGAGAAAAGGTTTCAACAGCTTATCTTTCCTCCAGTCAATTTTTATACAAAACCAATTATTCTGACTAGGCAATAAGATACACACTTGTAAACAAAAACAATCTATAAGTTTTCCCTTAATCCACCAATATACAAAAAACTGTTACAAAAGACTGCTGTCAATTTTTTTTGGCACATTTAAAAATAGTGTGGTGTTAAGAGCTATACACTGTACAGCACACACCCTGAAAAATCTCTATATATTATGTGGCAAATATCTAGAGATGTCACAATACCGTGTAATTTCCTTTATCATTTGAAGTAAACGATCTCCTGGAAGTCAGTGAACAGATTAAGTATTTTTACATAAATTTGTGGCTCCTAGCATAGAAAGTGCCTATATATGCTTATTGATTTATTTGTTGTAAGATTTCTTAATTAGCATACATATATGTACAAAAGTATTATGTTTTCAGAGCCAATCTCAAAGTCCATACATACTCTTTTAAAAGTTAATACAGCAAAATGCACTGAACTAAATTGACATTAATAAGTGGGGGTTTGCACACGCAAAGATTGTAGGATTAGACTGACGTATCTTAATTACATCCAAAAATATTTCCTATGGGTGCAGGCCAAGAAATCCTATCCTCTGCTTTATTCCCCAGAGGAAACACTGGAGTTAGATGGTAAAGGTCTCTTTTCATATTCTATACCAGTCTCCCCTTGAAAATTAAGTCTCAACTTGACAGTTTTGAGTCATTTACCACAATGAAAACTGCTGTCCACAGCCATCAGCAAGAGTATGTATATTATACTACAATTATGGCAAAACAAAATTGAAGCAGCTATATAAAGTAAAAAGTTGGAGACAAAATGGCAATTTCAGTACACGCAAATGAATAACTTTTTAAGAATGGCTCCAAGCATGAACAGAATTACATGCAGCAGTGGGGAAATCTGGGAATAGGGACCAGTATCTGTTTCTTGCCCGATACCTACTTTAAACAAAGAGACATCTGACTGAAACAATTACAGTTTCAAGCAATTGGTCCCTACTACAGCATGTACAGGAGTTCATTTAGTTTTTGCTCTTTTATTTTCAAAAAGAAAAAGGAGTACTTGTGGCACCTTAGAGACTAACCAATTCATTTGAGCATAAGCTTTCATGAGCTACAAATCACTTAATCGGATGCATTCAGTGGAAAATACAGTGAGGAGATTTATATACACACAGAACATGAAAAAATGGGTGTTATACACACTGTAAGGAGAGTGATCACTTAAGATGAGCTAATACCAGCAGGAGAGCGGGGCAGGCGGGGGGGGAGGGGGGAGGGGAAACCTTTTGTAGTGATAATCAAGGTGGGCCATTTCCAGCAGTTAACAAGACCGTCTGAGGAACGGTGGGGGGAATAAACATGGGGAAATAGTTTTACTTTGTGTAATGACCCATCCACTCCCAGTCTTTATTCAACCCTAAGTTAATTGTATCCAGTTTGCAAATTAATTCCAATTCAGCAGTCTCTCATTAGAGTCTGTTTTTGAAGTCTTTTTGTTGTAATATTGCGACTGTTAGGTCTGTAATTGAGTGACCAGAGAGACTGAAGTGTTCTCCGACTGGTTTATTAATGTTATAATTCTTGACATCTGATTTGTGTCCATTTATTCTTTTACGTAGAGACTGTCCAGTATGACCAATGTACATGGCAGAGGGGCATTGCTGGCACATGATGGCATATATCACATTGGTGGATGTGCAGGTGAACGAGCCTCTGATAGTGTGGCTGATGTGATTAGGCCCTATGATGGTGTCCCCTGAATAGATATGTGGGCACAATTGGCAGCGGGCTTTGTTGCAAGGATAGGTTCCTGGGTTAGTGGTTCTGTTGTGTGGTGTGTGGTTGCTGGTGAGCATTTGCTTCAGGTTGGGGGGCTGTCTGTAAGCAAGGACTGGCCTGTCTCCCAAGATCTGTGAGAGTGATGGGTCATCCTTCAGGATAGGTTGTATATCCTTGATGATGCGTTGGAGAGGTTTGAGTTGGGGGCTGAAGGTGATGGCTAGTGGCGTTCTGTTATTTTCTTTGTTGGGCCTGTCCTGTAGCAGGTGACTTCTGGGTACTCTTCTGGCTCTGTCAATTTGTTTCTTCACTTCAGCAGGTGGGTATTGTAGTTGTAAGAATGCTTGATAGAGATTTTGTAGGTGTTTGTCTCTGTCTCAGGGGATGGAACAAATGCGGTTGTATAGTAGAGCTTGGCTATAGATAGATGATGGATCGTGCGGTGTGGTCTGGGTGAAAGCTGGAGGCATGTAGGTAGGAATAGCGGTCAGTAGGTTTCCGGTATAGGGTGGTGTTTATGTGACTATCGCTTATTAGCACCGTAGTGTCCAGGAAGTCAATCTCTTGTGTGGACTGGTCCAGGCTGAGTAGCAGATAGAATACCCCAAGATCCATAAACCTGGAAATCCTGGACGCCCCATCATCTCAGGCATTGGCACCCTGACAGCAGGATTGTCTGGCTATGTAGACTCCCTCCTCACGCCCTATGCTACCAGCACGCCCAGCTATCTTCGAGACACCACTGACTTCCTGAGGAAACTACAATCCATTGGTGATCTTCCTGAAAACACCATCCTGGCCACTATGGATGTAGAAGCCCACCAACATTCCACACAAAGATGGACTACAAGCCGTCAGGAACACTATCCCCGATAATGTCATGGTAAACCTGGTGGCTGAACTTTGTGACTTTGTCCTCACCCACAACTATTTCACATTTCGGGACAATGTATACCTTCAAATCAGCGGCACTGCTATGGGTACTCGCATGGCCCCACAGTATGCCAACATTTTTATGGCTGACTTAGAACAACGCTTCCTCAGCTCTCGTCCCCTAATGCCCTTACTCTACTTGCGCTATATTGATGACATCTTCATCATCTGGACCCATGGAAAAGAAGCCCTTGAGGAATTCCACCATGATTTCAACAATTTCCATCCCACCATTAACCTCATCCTGGACCAGTCCACACAAGAGATCCACTTCCTGGACACTACAGTGCTTATAAGCGATGGTCATAGGCAGCTCTCCAACACCACTTCCCCCCCGCACTGTTCCTCAGACGTTCTTGTTAACTGCTGGAAATGGCCCACCTTGATTATCACTACAAAAGGTTTTTTCCCTCCCCGCCCGCCCCGCTCTCCTGCTGGTAACAGCTCATCTTAAGTGATCACTCTCCTTACAGTGTGTATGATAACACCCATTTTTTCATGTTCTGTGTGTATATAAATCTCCTCACTGTATTTTCCACTGAATGCATCAGATGAAGTGAGCTGTAGCTCACGAAAGCTTATGCTCAAATAAACTGGTTAGTCTCTAAGGTGCCACAAGTACTCCTTTTCTTTTGGCGAATACAGACTAACACGGCTGCTATTCTGAAACCTCTTTTATTTTGTTATACTTCTCCCAGCCTTGCAGAATACATGAAAAGTGAGTAGCTCAGGCACAAAGATGTATTTGTCTACCCTTTACCATGACAATGGATAGCTTACAAATATTATTTCCTTGTTAAAAATTTTATTTACCCCTTCCTTACAAGGAGGCAAGTAGAATTTTGCAAGATATAATTCAATCATTCAATAATAATAAATAATAATAATAAAAGGAGGACCCCAGTGTGTGAGATAGTAGATGTGAAGTTTTTGGTGTAGAGCAGCGGTTCTCAAACTTTGGGTCAGGACCCCGAAGTGGGTCATGATCCCTTTTGAATGGGGTCGCCAGGATTGGCTTAGACTTGCTGGGCCCCAGGGCTGAAGCCTGACTCCCACTGCCCGGGGCCGAAGCTAAAGCCTGAGGGCTTAAGCCCTGGGTGGTGGGGCTCAGGTTGCAAGCCCCCTACCTGGGGCTGAAGCCTTTGAACTTCAGTTTTGGCCCCCTGCCCAGAGCAGTGAGGTTCAGGCTTTGGCCCCCTCTCCCACCCGGGCAGGCTCAGGCTTCGGTCCCCACTCCTGGGGTTGTGAAGTAATTTTTGTTGTCAGAAGGGGATTGCAGTGCAATGAAGTTTGAGAACCCCTGGCAGAGAGAATACAATATAGTCTGATCTGATCAAATCGTTATCTTTGGAGCATGACCTGTCTCTTACTATATACTTGTACAGTGCTTAACACAATGGGATTCCAATCTCAGCTGGACCTCTATGAAACAATAATATTAATTTTTAAACTGATTTCTTCCCTGGTAGAATTGATTTCTTCCGACCTGGAAACTGAAAATTTTATTTCATATTTATTCATTTAATTAACCCTACATAGGCATAGGGGGAGGCTGGATGACCATCAATTTAAATAAAAATTAAGTGCTATTGGTCTTTTTGTTTCAACTAGTACCAGCCAGCATCAAGAACTATCTCCTGCCCCATGATGAAACTGGAATACATTGTGGGAGTCTTAACCTCTCATTTTATCTTGTATTGGCTGTTATTGGAAAATGGTTCAGAACTAGAATAAATAGCATGACTAAAAATCACACCTATACAAGATAAAAAATTATATCTATTCTTTCCATGTGGCAGTATTTTCTACAATGCCACAAATGCTAGTCAGCTGGAAGATTATGAATGACATCCACAGAAGTGTTCTAAAATAAAGAATTTCACTTCTTGGAATGATATGCAATTTTTTAACAACAGAAGAGAGGCAGTTCACCACAACTTGTGAAAATAAAGTATTCACTATTCCCTAAAATACCATGTTAGATTTTAGAATGAAGATACCTTACCTTGCAATCCACTTTTGTCTAGGAAATTGCTCAAATTGAACAGTGTGTTTCTGGAAGCTAGATACTGGATAAAACGCTAGATGGAGAAAAAAAAGATTTTGAATCAATAAGAAGTTATTGCTCTGCTGGAATCTTATTTAATCCTGCACTTAAACAATTTATTTAACTCAGAGCTATCAAACTTCCAAAAAATTTGTAGCGTAATTTGCAAACAACACAAACAACCCACACACTTCTGGGCAAAGCTGTCAGTGGAGGAATACAGTGTTTAACTACTATTTTAACTGGTATTGGTGAAGGATTGAAGGACCCTTTGCTCTAAACTAGAATTAGCCACACGAGGACAAATTTCTCATACAGGCATTAAAATTAGATACAAGGCAGTAAAATTTGGCATAATTACAACTTTTCTTCTTCAAACATACTCTATTTGTAGAACCTTTCTGCACAGCTAGCAGCAATGTTTTGAGCTACATACACGCAAAGAGATACACTGAACGCAAATCAATTTCAAGTTAGGATAACTGATGGCATGTAACCATCAGTTTGACAAGTTGCCTTCCAACTTGCAGACAATTTCTCCTTTACTTACAAAGTAAACCTGGCAATTCTAATGCCAATCTAATTTTATGAAGATTACGAGGCAAACAATATTCCTTATGATGGAACTTTTTGGTAACTAGAAATGACAATTCGAAGATAAAAAGACCACTTGATCCTATTTTTTTAGGAGTTTCAAGGCTAGGCTCGGATCAAAACTTCTAAACAAAGGTTGTAGAGCATCCTGCAAGAAACTTGAAAAAAAATCAACTTTGGTTTCAACGTCTTTGTGGTCTGCTCCAATTTAGTGTTGGCTATCGAACAGTTTTGTGATTCTTTGGTTCACATTGCATTGGTTTCATGAAGTACGTATTTGAGGTCTGATTTTCAAAGACACTGAGCACCTGCAGCTTGCATTCACATTATTTGGAGTTGAGAGCTCAGCACCTCTCAAAATCAGGCCTTTAGTTACTACAAATAGCAAAAGTGTACATCTTAACAATAAATAATCCTATGCTTGCCTACTTTAATGGGAGTGAATTAGCAGTAAATGTATTGCAGACATGAACTCTTCAGACAAAATCCCCCTCCCCCACATACACATCAGATGCTCTGACATGTACTGGCAGAAAACTATACTATTTTTCTACCAGATCAAATTAGCAGTAGTCACGCTATGAAATGTAAACTTTTCAACTGAAAATGAGCGTCTGTAGCACTCATTACTTAGACATAAGCATGTTGCTCTGCCATAGCTGAAAAAAGGGACATTGTGCACATTGTGGTTGGGGCAGGCTAGGGATCAGACCTCTGTAGAACTCTTTTTTTTAATATCCGTTTTACGGTGTTCGGTGTGCATCCACAGGCAAGGTCTCTTTCAAAACTTCTTAATCAGTTACTGCTCACATGTGGTGGCTTCAAAGACTGATTGTAGTACAAAGGCTTTCTTCACCTATACTGCCTACATCAACACTTTGGTGTAGGATTCATACAAGGTTCATGCACTTGGAAACATTCAGGGCACACCCAGAGTGTTGTGTAGGAGCAGTGCACACACAGCTCCTCTCAAGGGCATGAACCTTGGAATCTCGCCTAGATGACATGAACCGTGGGAAGCCTCCCAGGACTGGGCTCAAGGCCCGAGAGCAAGGAATGCGGTAGACAGAAATTGGTAAATAAGAATGTTAAACAAAGCCAGTGTATTCCTTTTATCTGTTGGAGAATGTAATGCGCGGGGGGAGAGAAAGAATAAAGGAGAGGGTGGAAAGCTGACAGGACCAGTCCGTTGGCAGACCAGCCTGTTTGCTTGCTTAAAGCTTTGTGCTGTCTTGTATTTGAACTGCAACACTTTGGCATTTGTAATCAAGCTATCAGTAGATTACCAGGAAATAATGTCTACCTGTACTAAGAAGTGAACTAGGAGTTCTTGACCAGCTTTACCTTTAGTTCCCTGTACACTCAGGTTAAATTTAAGGTATTGAATGTTATCTAATTTAATTACCTTTAAATATAATTATGGGATTTTATTTAAGAGATATTCAGCAGCATGAAGATTTACTATTAATACTACATAAAGATTATTATTCATATTAAATAAATTCAGGAACCTAAAGGAGAAATTTTCTTATCAATTCAGGTTTCACCCTGTCTAGTCTATCTCATACTTTAGGAATTGCATGTCTAACCAAAACCAGTATTTGGCCTTCTATGCTGAAGATTACATTTTCTTTATTTCAATTAAAAACATTTTAGAAGAGCAATTTTAGTGTACTCTTCATGGATTATAAATCATATTTCAGAGGATGAGAGAGACAGGCAATTTCATTTCCCTTTGTTCCCCCTCAAACCATGGTGGTGGTAATTCTCATCAGTAAAGAAACCTCTTTCCAAGCCTTCTAAGCAGCCACATGGCTTTTCGTACTTGTATAAAAAACTCTCTCAACGCTACATTCTAGCCTGCACAGGATTCTCTTGAGGGGAAACTCTCCAGAAGTTGTGAAATACTTGCTTAATCCAGTGTACTGCTATTCTAATGAGCCTTTCAACATTTGTTTAGGATTAAATACTGTTAAATCCCTACTGGGCACATGCATGCTTCAGAGTCCCTTTGAAGAAAGGAAGAGTTTTTTGCTAGCCAGTAAGAAGGGTTGCTATGAAAAGAATTCTGAATACTGACTCACTCAGCCCTATTTTTAATTACTTTAGAAGTTTTCCGATGTATAAAGAGTGAAGAGGAGAGCTAGGTGAAGAATGGTCATTCCATTTTGTGGAGATCCTGGGAAGTTTATGAGGAGGGCTGAAGAGGAAGTGGGCAGGTAAGCCCCCAAGAAACCTGCCTTGTTTCTGGCAGAATTTCACTGATATTGAACCATATCTGTGAAACGTTTCCATTTCAACAGATTAACAAAAAAGTTTTGTCAACAACCTGTAGTGACGAGGCATCAGGATTTGGCGAGAGCTGAACAACTTGCACGTATGGGAACAAATTTATTTCCTCTTCCTCCCTACTGGTCTGAGTAAGGGTATTACGTACTACACATATTACAAATGTCTTCCTGAAAGTCATCTATCACATAATTTTTCCTTATGTGCTAACTTTAGAAGAAATGAGTTGGGCAGAAAAGCCAGTGCCACTGGAAAAATGAATTTTGAATCAGCAGTTTAGTGAATTTTCAAAACAAGAGTCTTGCTAAACGGGATTCAGGGCCTGGAAGAAGTTACATCCTTATTGTAATCTCTAGTTTTATCCATTGCAGCTAATTATACAGCCCAAGGATGACATGAATTCATTCATAGGGTAAAGATCTTTATAACTAATGCCCTGTCGCAGGTATGTGCATAAAATGAATGCTAAATCTTGCACTGAGTATTTCTGCCTCTGAAAACGGATCCCCGAGAACTGATACAACAATTAATACATACTAGTGCTGCGTTTTGCTAAGCTATACGTGGGGAGACAGAGGTTATCACCGGATGGTATGGGTCTTTTTCCCCCTTAGTTCACTTACAAAAAGCCAAGAGTTATATCTGAAAATACCACTGTAACCTAAATCATCATGCAGAGTATGGTTATATGGACATTGTACTGGGTCCAAATATACAATGCATCAGATAACTAAAACAGAAAAATTCTGTTTTCAGCTGAAGTGACTGATTTTTCATAGCTTGGGACAGGGAGGGGAGGAGTGATAGCCTTTTACATTCCAAGCCCGGGCCAACTGAATCTCCATTGAAGTTCCAACGATTAGACCACTTTCAACACTCTAACATGACAAGTAGTCTGTCTGGGAGTAGAATTTGTTTTTGAAAATTCCTGCTGGTCTAACTTTAAAAAACTGATGTTTACAAAAGGGTGAGGAAAAAACAGGAAATAGTTTAAATCATAGCTAATGAGCAAAAATAGCTGCATTTTCTTCTCTCCCTAGGACACTCTTCACAAAATCCACAGAATTGGAACTCATACATGGAAAATTTGATATCAATGATTGAGTATAAATGGGATTAGAATCTTAACTATGATGATTCTTGCTCACATGAATCAGCTTACACTGTGTGACCCATGACAACTCAATGCCAACTGGCAATGGGGTTACAATAATATCTTGATTCTGGTAAGTACATTCTCCTTCATCAAAGAATGCCATGTGAGGTTTTAAATGAAAACAATGGTCACATTAGTCATTACTATTGTTGTGAAATGTACACACAAACGCTATATATGTATACTGAAAATATGGTCTTAAAGAGTCTGTATCACAGCAGAAGTGGAGAAACAGGTTTCCTGCCAGACAAAAGATGTTTATTCACCTGTCGGCATGTAAATTAAGCACTGTAGGCTAACACAATGGTGGCCAATTTACATACAAGGTCAACAGAAATATCAAGTCAAAAAAGAAATCATACAGAGGTGGAAGGCAACCTTATCTTGAGATACACTTCAAAGGTTTGCTGGACTATCTGGGGAACAGAGAAGACACCCTGTGATCCCGGATCTAGGAAGTAAAAGGGCAGTTCATTTACATTCATGAAACCAGTCTTAGTTGAAATGCTGCAGAGGACACTTAGGGTAAGAAAAACTTCTTTAGACAAGAGGTTAGCCTGTTAAGTCAAGTCTAGTCTCTAGAAAGCGTGTTATGATTTTGTTTTATAGGTAACCTTTTGCTTCCGTTACCCTTACTACCTCTTAAATCTTGGATAATAAAAACTTATTATTGTTTTCACTATAAATGTATCTCAGTGCTGTGATATTAAGCAAGAAGTTGATCCTGAGTTGAATCATACAAGCTGGTGTAAGCACTGTTCCTTTGGGGACAGCAGATGTGGCATTTCTGTGAGCCTTAAGTGGAAAAGAGGCTGGACACTACAGGGAACACTTCAAGAAGACTTGAGTACTGGGTATACCAATTGTTAACCTGCATGGAAAAATAAGAGCTGGCATAACCCAGAGGAGATTGTTTGGATGGCTAACAAGCTGGTAGTATCAGGGAGCTAACATCCAATTAAGCACAAGCAAGTCTCCTTCATGCTGAAGGCTGGGGGTAACAAGGTGACTCTCAGCCCTGGGTACCCCAAGAACTATCACAAACTGATTGCCAAATCAGGGATGGGAAAGAATTTTCTTTCCTAGCATATTGGCAGGGACTAGTAGGGAGGAAAGAGCTTCTCATCTTCTCTGCCCACACTGAGCAGAGATCAGTTGCTAGGCTCAGCTGGAACTATCCCACATACATTTCCTTGAAATTCTAAATGCCAGGGTGCAGGAGGAGAGATAAGAGCCTGCGGATTTCAGTCCTTCCCATCTTTTATTTATATTTTCTCCATTAGACTGAATTTATCATTGCTCATTTCATACTTTAACTGTGCAAATACATGTACAAACCCTTTATAGAGGGATCTGAATAGTCAAACATTATGGGCTCACAGTAGATCAGGGGTGGGAAAACTACAGCTCGCACGTTGCATCTGGTCCACCAGCCATTTTAATCTGGCCCTCGGGCGCTCCAGCCAGAGAGCAGGGTCAGGGGCCACGGTGCGCAGCTCCCAGAAGTAGTGGCATGTCTCCCCCCTCCAGCTCCTACACATAGGGGCAGCCAGGGGGCTCTGCTCCGCACTGCCCTAAGCGCCGCCCCCCACAGCTCCCATTGGCCAGGAACTGCGGCCAATGGGAGCTGCAGGGGCGGCACCTATGGACAAGGCAGCGTGCAGCAGAGCCATCAGGCTGCACCTCCACGTATGAGCCGGAGAGGGAACATGCCACTGCTTCCGGGAGCTGCTTGAGGTAAGCACTGCCCAGAGCCTGCACCCTGACCTCCTCCCGCACACCAACCCCCTGCCCCAGCCCTGATCCCCCTCCTACCATCCAAACCCGTCAGTCCCAGCCCCGAGCACACTCCTACACCCCAAACCCCTCATCCACAGCCCCATCCCAGAGCCTGTAGCCCCAGAAGGAGCCTTCACCCCCACACCTCCATGCACCGCACCTGTCCCAGCCTGGAAGCCCCTCCTGCACCCTGAACTCCTCATTTCTGGCCTCACCCCGGAGTCCACACCCCCTGCTGTACCCCAATTCCAATTCCATGAGCATTCATGGCCTGCCATACAATTTCTATACCAGATGTGGCCCTCAGGCCAAAAAGTTTGCCCACCCCTGCAGTAGATCCAGAACAGTTTTCAATTCACATTCTGACTCAGTTAGGTTTGGTCTACACTGTTCAAGGCTTAAAATTTTGCAGCCTGAGAACCGTAGTTAAGTCAGTCAAACCCCTGATATTGATGTCGCTAGACTGACAGAAGAATTCTTCCACTGACCTACTTACCACGTCTCAGAGAGATGGCTTAACTACAATCAACAGAAAAACCTTTAGTCAACACAGAAAGCTTCTACACTACGGCGCTCCAACGGCTCAGCGGCAGTGCTGAAGCAGCTGTAGAATAAGCATGTCCTTAATATCTGAGGGTCTTTCCATTCCTGTGCAGATACAAATGGAACCAAAGAGTAGCACTAATAGCTTTGTAGAACCCCATGAAGAGTCAGAAGGTATTTTTCTATTTTTTCCTTATGATAAACATATACTATGAACTGTATGAGAAATTTCATTTCAATTGTTTCAATGTAAAAGAAATCTGACTGAATATGAAGGGGAATATGAAGGGGAATCTGAATATTGCCCATACCATACATATTATATATCATGTATGGATTATATACAATAGCCACTTTTCAAAATTAATTTTTAAAATTCAAAAATGGTGGATTAAGAAAAAAGGCTTCAAAATGTCTACTGTGCTATAGATCAACAGATCTAAAATTTTAAGTTTTTTTTTAAATGTAGAAAGTCTACAAGCCACAGTTCATTTGGGTTAAGCATCTTAAAAAATAGGGCTGTATCATGGAAACACCACAAGACTTATTTTGTAAAGGTTTTGTGGAGAATTGAGGGTATGCAGCAGGATGGAGCTTACTACTTTTTTTTAAAATCAGCTGATTTTGGGCTGTTAGCTCATATTTAATTGATTGCAAACTTAACGTTAATTATGGGTGCCTACTGCTCACATGTAAACAGTCTTCATATTTTTAAATCAAATATAAATACAAAGATTGTTGGTCCCCAACTAAGAAGTCTGGAAAAAACATACAATTTACAAACCATTCTGACTATACAGAAAACACCTGTTTTGTCAGATGCCTGACTAAGTGACCTAGTAAGTCTCTTTCATTTTCGGCTCTTATGATCCTACGTCATACTTGGGTTTTTTTGTTATTTCTCTGAATTTTTTTTTTAAACGATAATAAAAACAAGACTGGCATAGAAAAAGAACCCCCTTTTACAGTTCTCTAACTACCTAGTAAGTAGAAGGGCAGAAATAGTGAAGATTTTCTTATAAAAGTACCTAGTCAAAGACATCTCCATGATGTATCTTTACAGCAAAGATACAATTTTTGTACTAAAGACATTGTATTACCTCATTTCCATACACCATTAGATGGTGAGTTGTGATGAGGGACTTGAAGACCACCACCCAGCTACTGTTGGTAGTTCTTTCAAACAAGCTGTCTGCCAGCTGGGGGATGTTCACATTCATCTCATTTGTGCACTGGATTAAATCTGTAATAAACAGAATTGATTATTGTTATTTTACTTGTATATTTAGTATTCGTGAAGCTTAGTTATCACGATGGTACACATATATTTCAGTTTTTCATTCAATGGAGCAATCTAGAAATTATGCAGCCTTTTCCAGAATACCTCTGATTTAGCTCTCAAAGGTTTTCATTCTGTGGCCCACCAGGAAAATCTCAAAGAGCTGCAGTTTGAGAGCCTTTAAAATATTTCATTCATCCACAGAATAGACAGTATGAATAAAAATAAGCTTCTCAAATGTATTCTAAAAAGGATTTTCTGCAATTAAGAGTCACTTTCTTTGCCCATTTAATCCCTGGTGTTTGCTTATACTGTTGCTATACCATTAGTTAACTATGATGTCAATTTTCACGATTAACACCTGTCTGCTAGAAACTGAACTGATACTACCTATTTCATATGGACCACTTAAAAGCCATGCAATGGTAACATTATCACCACTGACGCTGGCCAGACTCAAACTAGTGAGCTGGATATGAAAGTCCTCATATCCTGTATTCAGCTCCCTGAGTCATGTAGTCCCCTTCCTAGGGCTCTTCTTTACTTTATTTCTCAATAAAGAGTAGGGTTGTGGATTATTTGCAGTTAACGCACTTGATTAACTCAAAAAAATTAATTGTGATTAAAAAAATTGCGATTAATTGCAGTTTTAATTGCACAGTTAAACAATAGAATACTAATTGAAATTTATTAAATATTTTGGATGTTTTTCTACATTTTCATATACCGGTATATTGTATTCTGTACTGTAATTCAGATATCAAAGTGTATATTATTTTTATTATAAATATTTCCGCTGTAAAATGATAACCAAAAGAAATAGTATTTTTCAGGTCACCTCATACAAGTACTATAGTGCAATCTCCTTGTTGTCAAAGTACAATTTACAAATGTAGATTTATTTTTGTTACATAATGGCATTCAAAAACAAAATGTAAAAATTCAGCACCTACAAGTCCACTCAGTCCTACTTCCATGCTGATGACGCTTGTTAAAAAAATAATGCATTAATTAAAATTGCGACTGAATTCCTTGGGGGAGAATTGTATCCTCCCTGCTCTGCATTTTACCTGCATTCTGCCATATATTTCATGGTACAGCAGTCTCAGATGACCCAGCACACGTTGTTCATTTTATGAACACTTTCATTGCAGATCTGACAAAACGCAAAGAAGGTACCAATGTGAGATTTCTAAAGAAAGCTACGGTACTCGAGCCAAGGTTTAAGAATCTGATGTGCCTCCCAAAATCTGAGAGGGACGAGGTGTGGCGCATGCTTTCAGAAGTCTTAAAAGAGCAACATTCTGATGCCGAAACTACAAAACCCGAGCCACCAAAAAAGAAAATCAACCTTCTGCTGGTAGCATCTGACTCAGATGATGAAAATGAACATGCGTCCATCCGCACTGCTTTGGATTGTTATCAAGCAGAACCTGTCATTAGCATAGATGCATGTCCCCTGGAATGGTGGTTGAAGCATGAGGGATCATATGAATCTTTAGTGCACCTGGCACAAATATCTTGCAACGCCAGCTCCAACAGTATCATGAGTACACCTATTCTCACTTTCAGGTGATACTGTAAATAAGAATTGGGCAGCATTATGTCCTGCAAATGTAAACAAATCTGTTTGTCTGAGTGATTGGCTGAACAAGAAGTAGGACTGAGTGGACTTGTAGGTGCTAAAATTTTACATTGTTTTATTTTTAATGCAGTTTTTTTGTACATAGTTTTACATTTTTAAGTTCAACTTTCAGGATAAAGAGGTTGCACTACTTGTATTAGGTGAATTGAAAAATACTATTTCTTTTGTTTTTTTATAGTGAAAATACTTGTAATCAAAAATAAATATAAAGTGAGCACTGTACACTTTGTATTCTGTGTTGTAATTGAAATCAATATATTTGAAAAGGTAGAAAACAGTACCAAAACAGTTAAATAAATGGTATTCTATTATTAACAGCAGGATTAATCACAATTTTTTTATTCGCTTGACAGCCCTAATAAAGAGTACTTTTTCCATGTACACCATTGACACGTTTTTCAATTTTAAGCCATTCTAAAAGGAACAAATGAATCATCTTTCCCATGTGCCAGAACCACTCTTGCACAAAACGTAATTTCTGCATATAATTTGAGAAAATATTTACTTTCAGTTTCTCTCAGCTCAATAAAGGCAGCAAAAACAGGCTTTAAAGTTTCCAATCATCATATCAACACAGGGTTTCCTTATGCTCCTCAGACTGAAAATTACATTTAACTACTGTCCACAGCATTATAGACACTGAAGATCAAACAAAAGATTTCTTATGTGCTAAAACTGATAGTAAAAAAAACCAAAACAAAAAACAAAAAAAACACACACACCCCAGCTGCTGGGAAGATGCTCTAGTCACTATTAATAATTTCACAGATGTTAAAAAGAGAGGAAGATTAATAAAAATAATAAAAAGTAAATAAAAATTTGGCTGCCAGTCCAATGAGATTTCCAGAAATTCTTCCCTCTACTTACTCTGGCCTATCATAACTATATGTTGAAAGCACAAAAGTTGTAAGAGATCTACACAAGTAATAAGCCCTAAATTAAACAATTCAGATACAATTCTGGGACTGTTAGCATCCCAATGAAACAGATATTTCAATATTTTTATGAAAGAGGTAATGTAATTTACTAAACTAAACAGATGCCTAACTTTTCTTTGACATTGCCCTTCACCCACCCTAAAATATTGGTAAGTATTCTTAGTAGGGCTTTCAATTAGCAGTTAACTCAAGCAATTAACTCTGAACAAAACTCAACGAAAAAGATTAATCGTGATTAATCACAGTTTTAATTGCACTGCTTAACAATAATGGAATACCAATTGAAATTATAAATATTTTGGATGTTTTTCTACAGTTCCAAATATACTGATTTCAATTACAACAAAGAATACAAATATATTTGAAAATGTAGAAAAATATCCAAAAATATTTAAATAGATTTTATTAAGTGCGATTACAATTGCGATTAATTTCAAAATTTTTAATCTCATAATTAATCATGATTTTTTTAATCATTTGGCAGCCCTAATTCTTAGCCCTATCACAAAAGTGTTCAAACCCTGATGTGTTTAAACTCTTTACAAATACTATGCATCTGATGAAGTGAGCTGTAGCTCACGAAAGCTTATGCTCAAATAAATTTGTTAGTCTCTAAGGTGCCACAAGTACTCTTTTTCTTTTCGCGGATACAGACTAACACGGCTGCTACTCTGAAACCTGTCATTATGCATAACTGTGTCTCAGAAAAAACTACAGAACACTAAAAAGCCAGCTAAGGAAAATGTTACATACACAATTTGCCTAATATACGTAATTGTATTTAAAACAAAAAACAACCACACAGTAAGAACTTTTGATAAAAATGCATATTCATTTCAACATTCCAGGAATAGAAAGAGGTGAACTGCTGACAACAAAGCTTGCTGGATTTCACAAAGCAGTTAATTTGCCTTTACCCTTCATACTCTTGGGTAAAAGAATTCTAATAAGTAGATAGATAGATTAATAATAATTCTTGTCAAGAAAAAAGTGCATTTCTTGATTCAAACATGGGTCCATGTATCCATTCCATAAAACATACACCAGATATATATTGGATTAAGTTCACATATTTTGTCCACAAAAACCCTTGAGTCCAAAACACAAAGGAGGAGGAAGCGGTTGATTCCACTTTTACGTAAATGGAACTGTAACAAGTGATTTTTAATAGTTTTGGTAATTTTTCCTATGAAACTGTTCTAACTTTAGTAAATTCTACAGAACACGCACATAGCCAAGAAAGAAATCTTTTGCAGTAACATATGGATTAACTTCAAATGAGCTGAAGAGGAAGATGACGTGGATCAAGAACTACATGGCAAAGCAGATGCTATGTGCTTAATCATTGGAGGCCAAGCACACAGCAACAACTATAATTAACGTAGCCCCAGTGGTTCCTGTCTAGAAGGCCTCTGCAGTTGGTTATCACCAACTCTAACTTTTCCCTTTCAGGATTAATACTCAACATGCTGCCTGTGTGAGGAGGATTAGTTTTAAATCTGAGCACAGTCCAGCTATTTAAATATTGGAGGGCAGATATTTATTATTAAAAAAACAGCTAGTACAGCTGCAGTTTGCAATAGCACACTAAAATTCATCATTGAGCTAGTCCCTAAACTTAAGACACATGGTTTGAGGCGACCTAATGAAAGTGAGTTTAGACTCTGCCAAGTACTAGAACAAAGTGTTTTTTTTATTTTGCTTTAAAACTTTAACTAAAAAAATCCACCAAAACAAAGACTTTATGCATGTGCACTAATTTTAAAAACAAAGTTTTATAAAAGTCGTGCCACATTTTATTGGACGTAAAAATGTGCTTATGCAAAATTTCACATTCCACTGCAAATGGATGCAGAATAAGATACGTAACAGTGAAGACAGGCCTGGGACAAAAATAATGCACAAATGAACTGGCGTATCCCCCTGCAACATTCACTGCGCATCAACCAATAAGCATCTAAATGAAGCAGAGGCCCTCCAGAAAAAAAGATGCAAGTTGTGATTATGTAATTAAAGACAGTTATCTATGTATATTTACCAGAGGTAAAGTTAAGGTTGCATAGGCGGTTTTGACTTAGACTCAGACTTTAAGGTAGAAGGGACAATCATGATCACCTAGTCTTACCTCCTGCACATTGCAGGCCACAGAGCCTGACCCACCCACTCCTGTTCATAATGTCTGGCTGAGTTACCGAAGTCCTCAAATCATGATTTAAGGACTTCAAGTTACAATGAATCCACCATTTACACTTGTTTAAACCTGCGAGTGACCCATGCCCCATGCTTCAGAGGAAATTGAAAACCCCCCAGGGACTTTGGCATTTCCTGACAAGTTCTGCACTTAGCAACTTCAATGTTAGCAGTTCAAGTGAAATTAAATA